TTTGGTTAAACCGAACCGCAAAAATGCAGTGAACCGCCACCGATTGTCGTCCCAAACCGCCCACCGTCACTGAGAATCTTGCGGTTAACCGCCTCCGTAACCGGAAAATAACGGTGTGGTTTCTCGATTGGTCGACAAGACGAGACGGTGGGAGGGAAGGAGATCCGGCGGCGGTGCCCGGCGGAATAAGTTCAGGAGTCATCTCCTTTTTTTTTTTTTTTTGCATGGAGAAGTCGAGAATGGGATAGGAGCACCGGAGGCTAGGAGTGGGCAAACGGTTCGGTAAACCTGAACCGAACCGAACCGAATTAACCGAACCGAAACCGAATTAATACTATTCGGTTCGGAATTCGGAAGAAAAATATGGATAGTTCGAAAACCAGGGTTCTTTCAACAGAATCGAATTTCCGACCGAAAAATCGAAATACTATAATTTAAAGCTCCAAATAGTGAATTTTTGTGTTTGTAGTTGTTTTTAGACTTAAATATTTGAAATGTTTTATGACTTATGTGTTGAAAAGTTTGATTTTATTATTGATGATGCATATAATTGATATTTATTGTTTATATTAGGGGTTAAAAATAATTTAAAAGTGAGAAAATATAAGTAGCTTCACAAATTCGGTTTTGTGTGAAAAACCGAACCGAACTGAATTATAATTCGGTTAAAACCGACCGAACCGAATTATAATTTGGTTCGAATTCGGTTTGAGGTTTGGGAGAATTCGGGGACCCGATATTCATAATTTCGATTCGGTCGAAACTGAACCAATCGAATGCCCACCCCTACTGGAGGCCGCACCCGCGATTCGTCAGAAAGGGGAAGGGAATGAAGAAGGAATGACGTCGTTCCCCCCTGTTGGTCAGTTGCTGCGATTAGTACGGTCATTGACAACAGGGTTGGTTATTCACCCACCATTGAGCGGTTGACCGCCTTGTTCAGTCCTGCCAACCACCACCACCAACCATCCACTATCATCTGTTTTCAGTTGACTGTGTAGCCAATTTTATCGGTACGATTACGCGATTAACCACATAATCGATTTCCAATTAACAGCCCTAACCTGGGTCCTGGAGGGTGGAGCTAATGAGGAGCCACTGCCACCCTCGATGTCACTCCTCGACCATAAACTATAATTAATGTTAAGAAAGCTTATAATTAATTTGAATTAATGAGATTCTTGGATAGCAAGATTTTTATGAATATGTTGTCAACTCACATTAAGACAAAACTCACTAAATTTTATTGAAAGCCAAAAAAAACAATATTAGTACCTTTCAAAAGAGAGTAGAGCTTCTGTTACGAGACTAGCTACCAGGGGCGGAGGAGAGTAGAATGGGGTGGGTCCGCGTCTCTTACGAGACAAGCTATCAGGGGCGGAGGGAGAGTAGAATGAGGTGGGTCCGCTTTTGTTACGAGGCTAGCTACCATGGGCAAATGGAGTACAATGGGACCCTCTCTGGTTTGAGAGATTTGAGTAAAAATAGGCGGGTAATTAACATAAATTGTCACATAACTTTGTATTTTGTACAAAATGGTAACAAAATTTTTATTTTGCACGATTTAGTAACATAACTTTGAACTTGTAAAAAATAGTCATATTCGTACATATACATTCGTAAACTTAACAGAAAATTGATGTGGCTTCCAACTAAGCATCTAGTCAGCAAATAATTAATATATCATTTAATTATATTAAACTAATTGACAATCGAGTTATAAGAAATCATGGAAAATCTCAAATAACTTCCCCTTTCTCTATTGAGGGTGGATCCCATGACTAATGGGGAGTTCTTAGTCACTTGACTAAGTCCCTCATATTTAGATCTAGACACCCAATCTAACGGTTAAAAAGTGGGAAGAGAATTTTAATTGTTTATAGGGGTAGTTTGGGTATTATGAAAAATTACGAAGTATACAAACCGGACTTACAAACAGTACAAACAATACAAATTAGAGCAACAAAACATGTAAACAAATTTATAAACAATACAAAACATACGAACTATACAAACAATACAAAATAGACTGACAACAATACAAACCATAAAAAATGGAAAAACAACTAGGTTGACTTTTGAAGCTACATCCCTGTATAGAGGGGTACCGTCCCAAATTCAACCCGGTTGTTTTATAGACATACAATCATTACAAACACGGTGGACAAAAATTAGAAACTAGACCAACAAACCATACAAATAAAAATAGCGGGGTTGACTTTGGAGGCTCCATCTCCATATAGAAGACTTGCGTCCGAAAGTCAACCAAGTTATCTTTTAGGCATAAAAACATTACAAACATGGTGGAAAAAATAACAAAGCTTACAAAAGCAACCGATAAACATTACAAAATAACAAAACTTACAAACATTACAAAAAGATATCGATAAACAGTACAAAACATACTAACCATACAAAATATCGCTACTTACAATACAAATCGGTAAACTTGTATTATAAACCAATGATACAAAGCATACAAATCATAACATAAAAGTATACAAACTAGACAAACAAACATTACAAATTACAAAATAGTCATATAAATATTACAAATATAATAGACAAAATCGAAAACATGAATAATAAACAATACAAACCGAATTTATATAAATATTACACTCTCGACTTACAAACATCACAAAGTAGACCAACAAACATCACAGATTCTTTACAATGCTATGATTATTATTTTTATTATTTTATTTTACTTTAATAGTTAAACATATCAATTATGTAATTACCATCTTTATCATTTATTAAACTAGATCAATATGAACCATTAAATTTTAATGAGATTTCATGGCTAAAATTAGATTAGTCATGTGACTAAGGCACCACTAGTCACTTGATCTTAACCATTTCTCTATTCTCTCCCCCCACTGACCTATTTCAACGCCGACGATTCCTCCCCCAAGCGGCGCCCCACTTCACTTCTCCTCCTCATTTTGTAGCCCTCAATTTGGGAATTAATGATGGCGACCAGGATGCGTTGGGGGTGATGATGGGTTGTCGTAGAACACCAGGCAATTCATCACGACGACGAGATACTAGAACGGCTGGAACTCCTCCATGTTCTTTTTCTTCCACATCGGCCTCGGCATCAATACATCCATCGATTTTCAATTTTTAATTAGCCGTTGGTAATAGAAACGTCTTGCCACCATACAAGCTAGGGATATATGTAGAAAAGCTCAATGAGCTTAGGGTTTTGTAAGAAGAAGAAGAATGAGGCGGTATGGAATTGGGAAAACCCGCAAGGAGAGATGCTCTCCAGCTTTTCATATATATATATTTATCAGTACCAAAGAAGAGTAAACAATACACAACAGTAAAACTGGAAATGGAAGTTAAAACTAAAACTGAAATTCGCAAAATGAGCTGTAAACAATAGCCACTTGTCTTCTTTCTGTTGGCTCTTCCTGGCTCCACCCAACGGTAAACTTCAAGCTCCACGACACCGTTTTGCTCTTCGTTTAAGTCAGGTGGAAGGGAAGGCAGAAACGAAACGTTTCTGCCTTGGGTTTCTTTGTCAAACACTCTGTTCTTCTTCTTCTCCATTCGAGCAGAGCAATCCTGCTGAGCTGCAGGTCTTCAACCTTCATCTTCCAAGTCTGATACTCCCCCACAAGCTTGCGAGTAGGCATTGAATACTCCCAGCTTGTCTAACAAAAACTTCAGACGATATCGCGTAATTCCCTTGGTAAAAATGTCAGCAACCTGATCATCTGTTCTGATATAGCTCAGCTTGACTAACCCAGATTTCAGTCTCTCCCTTGTGACATGACAATCGATCTCTATATGTTTGGTTCACTCATGAAATACTGGGTTCTCAGCAATGTGTAAGGTAGATTTATTATCACAAAAGAGATTGATTGGAAGAGGTACCTGAACTCCCATCTCCAACAGGAGGTTTCTGAGCCATTGCACTTCACAGACCACTTGTGCCAATGCCCTGTATTCTGCTTCAGATGATGACCTTAAAACCGTTGTTTGTTTCTTGGTCTTCCATGTAATCAAAGAAGTGCCCAGGAAGGTACAATGTCCTGTCAAGGATCTTCTAGAATCAGGACAACTTGCCCAATCTGCATCACAGTAACCCTGCAACTCAAGTTTTGAGTCAGCCCTGAACAATAAGCCTTGCCCAGGTGTTTGCTTCAAATATCTGATTACTCTGTTTGCAGCTGGAAGGTGTTCAACACAGGGACTAGCTTGGAACTGTGCCAGTTGCTGAACTGCATAGGTTATGTCTGGCCTGGTAATGGTGAGATAATGCAATCTGCCAATTAGTCTTCTGTAGACAGTGGCATCTGGTAATGGTTCTCCCTGAGTAGCTGACAACTTAACATTGCAATCCATAGGTGAAAGGCAGCCTTTAGCTTCCAAAAATCCTGTGTCTGTCACCAATTCAAGGCAATACTTCTTCTGACTCAAGGAGATCCCTCTGTGATCTCTCAACACTTCCAATCCCAGAAAATAACTCATCTGACCAAGGTCCTTGACCTTGAATTCTTTGCTTAGAAAAAGCTTCAATTGCTCTATGTCTCCCAAATAGCTTCCTGCAATCAGTATATCATCAACGTATACTAGAACAACAACCACTCTTCCTTCAATCCATCTAACAAACATGGAATAGTCTGAAGTTGTTTGGGAGTAACCATTTTTCATCAATGCATTGGTTAATTTAGCAAACCATTGCCTGCTTGCCTGCTTTAGGCCATACAAAGACTTCTTAAGTCTATAGACTAGACCTTGGTCTCTAGAAACATTAGCTCCAGGAGGAATTTCCAGGTACGCTTCTTCTTCCAAATCTCCATGTAAAAATGCATTTGACACATCCATTTGATGTATGTGCCATTCTTTGGAGGCTGCAACTGCTAGAAGTGTCTTAACTGAATTGATTTTGGCCACTGGAGAGTAATTATCCAGAAAATCAATCCCATAAATCTGAGTGTAACCCTTGGCTACAACCCTAGACTTGAACCTTTCAATAGTCCCATCTGACTTATGTTTTATTTTGAACACCCATTTAGATCCTACTGCTTTCTTACCCTTTGGTAGCTTGACCACTTCCCAGGTCTGGTTTTCTTCCAGGGCTGCCACCTCCTCATTACATGTTTGATTCCATCTAGGATCTTTGCAAGCTTCTGCATATGAAGAAGGTTCCTGATGACTCGGTATTTGCACATGTTTTCCCCTTTGTTTCTTGATTGTTTGAGCTTGAATTATCGTGTCTTTGGCCTATTTTACGCTAGGTTGTGTTCCTTTGTCACATTTCAGGTCCTAGCACATAAAGTGAAGCATAGGCGCAAGTTTCAAGTCAATCAGAGATCAATTGACGATTCGAGAGAAGAAACTCGGGTATGACCTGAAGAAGAATGGATTTCTACCTCACTTTATGGACAAAGAATCATGCAAGCTTGTCATGAAAAGAAAGAGGACGAGACTACGAGCGTCTGGGATCAAACGGCGACTGATTCGGAGTCCGGACGAGGGAGAAACGAAGCATTAAACAGAGGCTGACCAAGCCACACGGGCACAACCCACACGGCCGTGTGACCTGGCCATGTAGCCGTGTGGAAATCACCGAGCCTTCACACGGGCAGCTGGGAAAGCCACACGGCCATGTGGCCTGGCCGTGTGAGTCGGGAATTGCTGTTTAAAACCCGATTTTCAGCAAAAGGAAAGGGGGAGAGCTGGGTTTTGGATCCCAAACACCCAAGGGAAGAACCCTAGAGAGAGAGAGCGACTTGGGAACATTCTTGGAGCTATTTTGGAGGATTTCTTCGCCATTGGAGCTCGGGAATCAAGCTTGGAGATGGAGATTGAAGATCTAGATCAGATTTCTGCAGTCTCTCTCTTCTCTATGGAGTAACTTCCCTTCACTTAGGTTTTGAGGAACCCTAGTTCCATGAGTTGGGATCTTTCTTGTATGAAGTTTTGGATGCTATATTGTTTGATTATAATCGAATGATGCATGTTTATTTAGTCAATTGAAGTCTGATCAACTTTTCCTGATTTCTGCTGCAACCTTAGATAGATAGAATCTGATTAGGTTGTTAGAGCCTCATCATTCGGTAGTAGGAGATTGGCTATACGAGAGTTAGCCAGTTTACTGCTTTGTACTGGAATCCAATTCCAGTAGTGGAGTTCTGTGCTTATTGCTTCAGCTTTCTATCCCGGTGAAGACTAGTCGTCTGCCGGATAGTTAGACTGAGAGGGCTTGGTCAGCTTAAGATATTCCAAGCTACTGTCGGATCTTCCGCAGTTTAATCAACAGTAAAACAACCAAAAGGAATTACAACTTGGACCTAATTGAGGAGCTAGGGGGAATCATACCTAAGTGAGTTCCCAAACTGTAATTAGTAGTTTTACTTAGTTTAGTTAGTAGAGTAGTTTAGTTAATCAATCCTTAATCTAGTTTGCTAGATAATGAACTGAAGCTGAGTAATAGTAACTCTAGAGACCCGTGGATTCGATATTTATTACTTGTGCCACTATACTGCAGTCCCTTTCATTGGTTACACTTGGCCATTGTTAGGTGTTGTGTTTTAGAGCATCAAGTTTTTGGCGCCGTTGCCGGGGACTTTCTAGAGTATTAGGAAAGGCAGAAGTTTGTTACTTTAGCGTTTTTCTTTTCTTTTCCACCCTTGCTTTTCACTTGGGTGTTTTTGTTTTTGTTGGTGCAGATCTGAATCATGGATCCTAATGGCTTCTCCAATCATTGGGGGTATCCACCACCATTCGGGTGGTATTACCCCGCGACTCCCTACAGCAATCAAGGAGGAGAAGACTATGGATTCAGGTTCCAGTACCAACCCCCTTGCTACGGAGAACAATCAGACCCCTGGGCATATCAAGAACAACCTCATTACCAAGAAGACTTTCTCCCACAACCAAAAGGGCCATCGGAGCTGGAGTTACCCATGGCGGCCTTCACGGGCCACTCTGCAGAGCCATGCTACACTTCACTGGAGGATCCGAACGAACAATTAAGGCTTCTCGTGGAGCAGTTTGCTCGAGACACTGAGAAATCATGCTCCAAGATGGATCTTCAAATCAAAGCCATTGCCACTTCCGATCCCTCATTTCTCCATGATATGGAGGAGACTGTTCAGCGCTCAGCGAAGCAAACAGAGTGGGTGAAGCAAGTTTGTTCACATCTTGCTCAAGATCACCTTTTTGCTACCACCCTAGAAGAGGTGGAGGATGACAAAGGCTATGGGAGCGTTGAGGAGCATACAGAAGTTATCACAGAGAACTCCCATGATAACCATGATCAGGAAAGTCCTTTGGTTGCAGACCACACCTTTCCTCATTTATGCTCTAACATGCTGGGCCCGTGCGAGGAGATGCAAGATGATCCCATTGAAGAAATTGCTTGGCGACTTGCTCTCCAATCTGTTCTAGAAGAAGAAGAGCGAGTAAGGATGAGGAAGGAAGTTGTGGATGATGAGGAAGAAAGAAAAGAAGAGGTGGTTCTTGATCTTTTCCCAGGGGAGAGACCACATTTTGAAGAAGGAAGGGGGGTTGAGGAAGCAATTGGCGTCCAGGCTGAGGATGAAGTTGAGGTGGAAGAGGCATGCACCGGCCATGAGTTGCAAGTAATATCCCCACCAAACTTTGAGGAACTGCTTGGCAAGGACCCATTTGCAGTGTCTCTTTGCCAGACCAAGGCCACATCGACATCAATCCCTCTTGGTGGACGCGATGGTGGTCGGTCGATACTGTCATATCAGGTTTGGGGCAACGAGACGAGAAAAGAGAAGAAGAGGTCTCGAGGGTGGAGACTTCATCTGCATCAAGTACATGAGCCTTCATCACCTGCCACACCACATGCTCGTGACTTGAGACTCCACCTCATCGACGAGAACCTCAACTTCAAGGAGGTTCTAGCATGGACCGAAACTTAGGAGCCATCATCCGGCTCACGACGTGAAAGAAGCGCTTGTTGGGAGGCAACCCAACCAGTCGGTTTGCATTTCTTTCTCTATTTCTCCTCGGTTGAGTCAGTTTTGTTATTTGATTTTAGAGTCAATAGCTCAACCTTTGTGAGATTTTGTGTGGTGTTTGTGTTCTGATTACTCTCTCTTCCTGGAATGCACTGCCTGACCCGTACATCATCATTCACCCTTGATCTGGTAACTTTGTTCTACCCTCCTTATCTTTCCTCCATTGAGGACAATGTCGTGCTTAAGTGTGGGGGGGTGTTCGATTATGTATGCGGGTGAATGTTTGGCTGTTTGTGTGCTTGGAGCCTAGTCCACTGTCCAAATTTTTAAATTTGAGGGCTCCAAGTACGTGTTTCCTTGCAAATTGCCTGCTCAGTATGCTTTGAATTGACAGTCTCTATAGTAATGTGCAACCTAGGGAGGTAGTGTAGCACTATGGAGGATGTTGAAGTATAAGATTTTTCCTATCTAGCTCTCTGTTGTGCCAGTTGATTTTGTGAATTAGTGGAGCTAAGACCGTTGAATTCATATGATAATGGTGACTCTGTTTGGATTATGTTATGGACTCGTGTATCGAACAGGGTGCTCATATGGAAAATGGGAAGCAGTTGGTCCTCCATGTCAAAATCATTAAATCTTAAACATGGGGTAAGCCCAACGTGTGCGGCACCGTTCATTGCACAAAATCGGGTTTTGGAAGAGATTTTAGTGATCCTTAGTGGGGTACTCATACAAGGTGAAGCTAAGTTGTCTCTAGTACAAGTAAAACTTCCACCCGTTGAACGGTTTGCCTACTTGAGGATGTGTTTTTAAGGGCACGGATAGAGCTTCCGACCCCCCTTAATTTCATTGACCCTCCACACGAGTTGAGGAAAAGGAGTTAAAAGAAGTACTCTGGCGAGCTCCAGATGTACAGAAATTGCTCTTGCTCGACTAATAAGGGTCGACCGTGCAAAAGACTGCAGTTGGAACCCCACCAAATGAAAGAAAAAATGTAAATGAAAGTGAGAAAAAGGGGTTCCAACGGTGAAATGAAGTGAAAGAGCACCCCGGTACAACGAATCCTTGGTTGTGAATGGTGTGAGTCCCTTTATCCATGAACTGACTGTCTTACTTCTACTTTTTCTCATGATCCTGGCTTGAGTCTAGTACTCGCATTGAGAGAGATAGGGAACGTCCTAGAAGATCAGTTGACCTCGTAAGCTGCTATAAGATCTAGGAAATCCTCTACCGACGATCGGGGTTGTATGTTGCTATAGAGCTCTGGAGAGCTGCATTGGTTTGAGTTAGGTTTGCTTGGGGACAAGCAAACAGTTAAGTGTGGGGGGATTTGATGACTCGGTATTTGCACATGTTTTCCCCTTTGTTTCTTGATTGTTTGAGCTTGAATTATCGTGTCTTTGGCCTATTTTACGCTAGGTTGTGTTCCTTTGTCACATTTCAGGTCCTAGCACATAAAGTGAAGCATAGGCGCAAGTTTCAAGTCAATCAGAGATCAATTGACGATTCGAGAGAAGAAACTCGGGTATGACCTGAAGAAGAATGGATTTCTACCTCACTTTATGGACAAAGAATCATGCAAGCTTGTCATGAAAAGAAAGAGGATGAGACTACGAGCGTCTGGGATCAAACGGCGACTGATTCGGAGTCCGGACGAGGGAGAAACAAAGCATTAAACAGAGGCTGAGCAAGCCACACGGGCACAACCCATACGGCCGTGTGACCTGGCCATGTGGCCGTGTGGAAATCACCGAGCCTTCACACAGGCAGCTGGGAAAGCCACACGGCCGTGTGGCCTGGCCGTGTGAGTCGGGAATTGCTGTTTAAAACCCGATTTTCAGCAAAAGGAAAGGGGGAGAGCTGGGTTTTGGATCCCAAACACCCAAGGGACGAACCCTAGAGAGAGAGAGCGACTTGGGAACATTCTTGGAGCTATTTTGGAGGATTTCTTCGCCATTGGAGCTCGGGAATCAAGCTTGGAGATGGAGATTGAAGATCTAGATCAGATTTCTGCAGTCTCTCTCTTCTCTATGGAGTAACTTCCCTTCACTTAGGTTTTGAGGAACCCTAGTTCCATGAGTTGGGATCTTTCTTGTATGAAGTTTTGGATGCTATATTGTTTGATTATAATCGAATGATGCATGTTTATTGAGTCAATTGAAGTCTGATCAACTTTTCCTGATTTCTGCTGCAACCTGAGATAGATAGAATCTGATTAGGTTGTTAGAGCCTCATCATTCGGTAGTAGGAGATTGGCTATACGAGATTTAGCCAGTTTACTGCTTTGTACTGGAATCCAATTCCAGTAGTGGAGTTCTGTGCTTATTGCTTCAGCTTTCTATCCCGGTGAAGACTAGTCGTCTGCCGGATAGTTAGACTGAGAGGGTTTGCCCAGCTTAAGATATTCCAAGCTACTGTCGGATCTTCCGCAGTTTAATCAACAGTAAAACAACCAAAAGGAATTACAACTTGGACCTAATTGAGGAGCTAGGGGGAATCATACCTAAGTGAGTTCCCAAACTGTAATTAGTAGTTTTACTTAGTTTAGTTAGTAGAGTAGTTTAGTTAATCAATCCTTAATCTAGTTTGCTAGATAATGAACTGAAGCTGAGTAATAGTAACTCTAGAGACCCGTGGATTCGATATTTATTACTTGTGCCACTATACTGCAGTCCCTTTCATTGGTTACACTTGGCCATTGTTAGGTGTTGTGTTTTAGAGCATCAGTTCCTCATTTAACATCACACTCATGGCAAAAGCACTCTGGGAAGGAGACAATTGTTCATAAGAGAAGTGCTGACAGACATGATGTTTGGAGCATGATGCTGCAATGTTAAAGTGATAATCCTTGTGCCAAGCAGGCATAGTCTTGTTCCTTGTGGACTTGCAAAGAAATGCAGCATCATCAGTATCATGGGGATCAGGGAACACTTCAATCTCAGCATCCTCCCCCCCAGAATGCAAACCAACCACATCAGGCAACAAAGAAAAAGAGGGAGATTCCTCAGGAGAGGAAGTAGAAGGAGAAATGGAGGAATGGGGGTGGTAGCATTCTGAGCAAGAAAGGAAGAAGAAGGTGAAGTTGAGGAACTAGAAGGAGCAGAAGGAGGAGTGGTACTGGGAATATCAGGAATAGGTGCAAGAGTAGGGGTAATGGGGTCTAGAATGGACATGGAAGGTTAAGAATTAGGAGTGGAAAAGGGGAAAATGGTTTCATAGAAAGTGACATCACGAGAAACAAAGAAAGAATGGGAATTGATGTCATAGAGTTTAAAGCCCTTTGTGCCTGATGGGAAACCAAGAAAAATACACTGCCTAGCCCTGCTGTCAAATTTGGTTATGTCTCTGTAAAGTGTGGCAACATAACATAGACACCCAAATACTTTCAAGTTAGCCAGGCTAGGAGGTCTGTTGTATAAGCATTCATAGGGGGACTTGTTTTGAAGTACTGAAGAGGGAATTTTATTAATAAGGAACACAACATGGAGGATGCAATCACTCCATAAATGCAAAGGCACTCCTGATTGGAATCTGAGTGATCTAGCAACGTTGAGAATGTGTTGATGCTTGCGCTCAACTCTGGCATTCTGCTCAGGAGTCTCAACACATGACAACTGATGCTCAATCCCATTAGTTTTGTAAAAATCTGCCATATGGAACTCATTCCCTTGATCACTTCTAACAACCTTAACATGCTTACTGAATTGCTTGGAAACCATCACACAAAAAGGTTCCAACAAAGCACTAGCTTCAGATTTGTATCTCATCAGATAGGTCCAAACACCTCTAGAAAAGTCATCTACTATTGTAAGAAAGTAGGAATATCCCTCATGGGATTTAACAGCAAGAGGACCCCATATGTCCACATGAATAAGGGAAAAAGGTTCTGGTGCATGACTAGAACTGATAGGAAATGGCAGTCTTTTGTGTTTGGCAAAATGACAAGTCTGACAATGAAAAACAGAATTCCTATTACAGGGTACTAAGAGTCTTTCTTTGTCTTTGTTTAGATGTCCTAGCCTCCAGTGCCATAGTTCAATAGTTTGAGGAGTGAAATTGTATGCAGCTGCTTCCTGTGGTGTTTGAGGAGTTGAAGAAGTCTTGAAAGTGATTTGGTAAAGCCCCTTAATCTGTTTTGCCAAAACAGTCCTGCTGTGGGTCATTAGGTCCTGAATTTGGCAAGAATCAGATTCAAAATGTAAGGAAATAGGTAGGTCATTTGTGAGCTTACTAACTGAAATAAGGTTGAAAGAAAAACTAGGCACTAGGAGGACATTTTCTAGAATGAGGCCTGTAGGTAATCTAACTCTACCTACATGGCTAACTGCAACTTTGGAACCAGTTGGTAAGAAGACATACTGATCAACCACTGGGGTGGATTCAACAAACAGACCTAAGCTACAAGCAATATGGTCTGAAGCCCCAGTGTCCAAGATCCATACTCCCAAAAGGGAATCTGACTTGTGTTGCAAGCATGAAGAGAGAACATACTTACCAGCACAATTAGGGAAGTGAGGAATGTGCTGTGCCACAGAGAAAGCATGGTGATTGATAGATGGTGATGCAGGTGGAGAAGGACTTCTCGATGAAGGAGAAACTGAGTGAAGCAGAAATTTGAGCTTATTAAGCTCTTCTGAAGACAATTCAAAGCTGTTATTTGACTGTCGAGTATCAATGCTTAGCTTGGATTCTAAGGAAGCACTGTCACTGTCTGTAGAAGAATCAGACTGTGAGACTGCTGCAGCAACATTTCCCCCAGCCATTCTAGCCTTTTTTTTTCAGACGATAGCACTCTTCTATGTTGTGATTTTCTTGTTTGCAGTACCTACAGAACTTCTTTCCATCAGAACCAGTAGGTTTGTTATGGCCCCCAGGCACACCAGATACTGCAAGTGCAACTGTCTGAACTCCCTTAGTTCCTCCACCTTTATCACCCTTGATCTTTTGCTCATGCTGGAGCAGATCATTGACAGAAGCATCCACAGTGGGTAATGGCTTCATCATGAGGAGTTGTGTGTGAACTACCTCACATTCTGACCTCATCCCTTTGAGAAATCGAATTAGATACTCCACTTCTTGTTTCTGCTTGAAAGCTTCCACTGCTGCACAAGGACGAACTCTTGGCACTACACAATCACACTCCACAATTGGGTTAAATTGGAGATTTTCTTCCCATAATCCCTTAAAAGCAGTATAATACTGAGTGATATTCATGGATCCTTGTTTACAGGCAATAATCTGATCCTGCAAATTTGCCAGCTTGATGGCATTAGGAAGACCAAATCTCCTCTTAAGCTCATCCCAGAGATCCTTAGCATTCTCATGCTGCATAACACTTCGACGAATTTCCTTCTCTATTGAGTTCAAGATCCAACATAGGACAATATTATTGCAAGCATCCCATAACCCAAAATTAACATCATCCAGACTAGGCATAGGAATAGATCCATCGATGAAACCAATTTTATGCTTTGTTTTCAAAGCCATTCGAATAGCTCGCTTCCACATCTGATAGTTTGGCCCATCTAGGTTCTCAGAAAATATGGATTGAGAGATGTTTTCATTTGGGTTTATGTAAAATGGGTTACCAAATTGCAGATCTAAACGCCCTGTACCTCCGATGTTGTTTCCATTGTTGTTGCTCGTCGTTCCTGTTTGCGCATTGAAACTTCCAAAAGGAATTGGACCAGTGCCACTCAATGGCGATCCACCTGGAGTTGCACTGCCACTCATTGTGAAGAAATCTGGATCTCAGTCCAGCTCTGATACCATGTAGAAAAGCTCAATGAGCTTAGGGTTTTGTAAGAAGAAGAAGAATGAGGCGGTATGGAATTGGGAAAACCCGCAAGGAGAGATGCTCTCCAGCTTTTCATATATATATATATCAGTACCAAAGAAGAGTAAACAATACACAACAGTAAAACTAGAAATGGAAGTTAAAACAAAAACTGAAATTCGAAAATGAGCTGTAAACAATAGCCACTTGTCTTCTTTCTGTTGGCTCTTCCTGGCTCCACCCAACGGTAAACTTCAAGCTCCACGACACCGTTTTGCTCTTCGTTTAAGTCGGGTGGAAGGGAAGGCAGAAACGAAACGTTTCTTCCTTGGGTTTCTTTTGTCAAACACTCTATTCTTCTTCTTCTCCATTCGAGCAGAGCAATCCTGCTGAGCTGCAGGTCTTCAACCTTCATCTTCCAAGTCTGATAATATAAGTCTTCTTCAAGAACGATCGAGTCAACGAGTTGCACGACTCGGAACGTGCCGCCAACAGCGCGACCCGCCGACCCCTCGTGATCTTCACTAGCGATCTCAACGGAAAGCAAAGTCGCTCCCTCTCCGCCGTTTATTCGAACAAAAATTGGTTCTTCGGCTTGAGGACATCATCAGGTTCCATTTAGTAGGTAGAGTTCTTGATCTCTGCGAGAAACTTCCAGATTTGCTCCATGAAGTAGCAGTCGTTCGCTGCTGCTTCGAATTCCTTCACTTTGATTTGCTCGGTGAGTCGGCTAATCATCCGTTTAGCTTGCTAACAAAACGGTTTTTTCGAGGATCGTCGGCTGTGAGTCTAGAGAATAAGCGTAGCAAAGAGAGCGCTCGTGACTCGTGAGATACGGTAGAGACGAAACAGAGTAGAGAGAGGAAAGCTATTTTCCATTATTTCTAAAACTTTAATTGTATTAAAAATTAAAAATATGATTAAATCATAATATATTGTTTTTGCTAACTAGAATGCTTAGTTGGAAGCCACATAAGCCATTTGTTAAGTTTTTGGATGGAGTTTAACTGAAATGACCGAATCGTTCAAGTTCAAAGTTGCGTTACCGAATTGTGTAAAATAAAAGTTCTGTGACCTTTTTGTACAACGTGCAAAGTTCTGTGATCATTTATGTTAATTACCTAAAATAGGCCCACTTATGCTTCGGCATTGATTCGGACTAAAGAGTACTACATCCATTCTTTTTCATCAAACTAAACCTAATTTGTTAAATGAAATAAACTCAATTATATGAAATACATCGTAATTAATACGTAGACAATATTATTTATCGTTTTATCTTACTAAAACACTTTGTAATTTTTGAGATAAAGTTATGTTCGGCTCTAGATAAATAATTATAAATTTTAATTGTTTCTTTTTTCACAAATTCTTCTCCTTCAAACTTGTTAACTAGCTTTATCCTAATAAGCTGTCTAATAATGAGACTTTTTCTACAGTAAATTGTGTGAACAACACTCTAGAAAATGAATGAGTATACGAATCATAAATGATTCTTTGTAAGACGAATTGAGAGTGATATCCTGAATAGTTTGAACAATAATTATATTTTTTAAAAATTTCTCCTAATACAAGTAATGATAGAATAATACGAAATTTTTATGTATAAAAAAAGAGTTATACGAAATTTATCCTAATACAAGTAATAAAATTGATACAAAAAAATTATTTTATCATACCATTTCTGAAAATTTTGGACCCACCGTACTTATAAATCTGGTTATGCCCCTACTAGCTACAAGACGACAACAACCACACCGGTCCAACCGGGCCATAAATTCCAACCCACATTTCTTTAATTATTGCTATTTATGATTCCTTTTACGTTTTGGACTGTCTTTGCTTTTCCTTGTTTGTTTTGGATATGTTTGTACTTTGCTTATAAATAGTTGAGCAGAAACATCATCATGTTTTAGAGCTTATGCGTACTATTCGCTTTCAGTTTGGAGTGATATGAGTTTTTGGGTTGAGGCCGTTGATATGGTAGTTTATTTGATTAATCGTCAGCCGACTCTGCTCTTGATTAAAAAAACTTATCGGGTTCTTTATTTATGGCTCCCACAGTATGATTGGTTGCATGTGTTTGGGTGCGTCTGTTATCGTACGTCCTCGTCGTGAACGTCATAAACTTGCACCTAAAGCTATCAAGTGTGCTTTCATTAGTTATAGTGGCAAACATAAGGGTATGTTTGTTACGATGTGATTAATCGTTGTTTTTTGTATCATGTGTGATGTGTTATGCAACATCTCCCATATTATACTACCTCACTCAAGAGCAACGTCCAGATGCCGACCTGTTTCAGCACATGATTGTTTTTCCTGCTGCTTTCATTACTGAAACATTGTATATGGACCTGTCGTCCCCATCGAATGGTTATTCTCTGTCGACCTTCATTGGCTCCTTGTTGTTTGTGTCTGGGTCTTCTCCTTCCAGCCACTAGCATTTGTCGATTTCCTCCGTCAGCTCGAATTTGAGGCATGATTAGCATCTTCCCCTCTAGGTTCCTGCTCCTCTCATTCCTCGTCGATCTTCATGGGTCAACAAATGGTAACACCCACTCATCACAATTATATTGTTGCCTTTTCTGCTCACCATGTTCATGAACCAACAACATACAAGCAAGCCAAAGGTCGTGAATGTTGGGATGCGACCATGGGGTTAGTTTGCAGCATTGAAAGCATCTTATATATGATATGTTATTCCTCGTCGACTTGAGTACTCGATGATTGGCTTGAATTTGAGGGTCAAGTGGAACTTTTGTATATCACATTCGTCAAGTAAACTGCAGATTTGCTGACTAAAGTCGTTGCACTACCCATCATTGGTTTATGGTTTACACGCAACATCAATTTGAGAGATTTAGTTAGAAGTTCGTGTATTTGATTGTAATTAACCATCCATTTTGTTCAGGTTAATTACAATTAGACCATCCTTACGGTAATGTCACTACTAAACTGAATCTGTGCGACCATAGCGCTCAAGTCGCATTAGAGAGCTAAGTCAGCCTTCACTCAAACTTACTCAAGCTCACAGGATTGGAGGAACTCTCTCTAGAGATGTATTGCTCTCAATATTTCTGGATGTGTACAAATGAGGGGGAGGTGCTCTTTATATTGGCCTCACCTCTAAAATGGACATCTAAGATTAATCTAATCCTAAGGCTAGGGTCAACCATATAGAATTCCCTACATAATATCTACATTCTAGAATTTTCTAAGAAAATATCTACACGGCTCCATATCCTTCGATGCTCTTTCATGTCTCTAGATTGCTCCACACTCTTCATAATGGTTTAGGGTGGAACATCACCGGCATGTGCATCTCGTGTGTGACATTCTCCCCGACTTAATTCAAGACGTCCTTGTCATCGCGCCCTCTTTGCACTAACATCATAGTTGGTATGGTGGTGATGTGCTTGAGCCAAGGCTGGCCTTGGTTAGGGTATAAATATCATGTCCCCAAGATTTAGGTGCACTCTTTGTCTGCCGAGACTTCGAGTGTCTCACCCACTTCATCTTGGTCCTCACTTTTGTTGTTGCGGCTTTCATTGTCGAACAAGCTTTTAGAGATATGGGTGCCTCTCTCAATAGTGGCACCGTGCACCCTTCCCTCCTTTGAAGATGAACATTAAATTTTTAAAGGGAATCAGACAAGCCTTCTTCTTGTCCATAAAGTCTATGATGTTGATGACCTGATAATCGTCCATTGCCACTTTAAAAAAGTATGCCTCTCCCACCCAACCGCCAAAGTTTATCTGTACCTTGCGAGCGACTCCATGTGTTGGTGTGACTTTCAAATTTAAAGACTTCAATAACCCTCTACTCTTCTCGTACGAGATGCTAAGCCTCTGTACTTTGTCCACGTGAAGGAAGTTGTTATTGGTCTGGGTGTCCACCAAAGCCATTATCTTTCCCTTCTTGAGCATGCCTCCACAAAGCATCACACTTTCTTCTCGGCAGGAGGAGGGCTTTCCTTCCCTTTCTTTGCTCCTAGAAACCTTAGGCCGCACAACTTAAAAGTTTGGCACCCTAGCCTCCTCCGCCTCCTCTTCCGAGCTCTCTTCCACGAGTATCGTCGCTAACTTACTCCTCTTCGGGCAATCTGTTACACGATGTGGCCCTTCACAAAGACAGTAAGAAATTGGTTTATCTTTCATTCTACCCTTACCTTCCTTGCTTGAGTCACCACACTGTTGTGTCCTCTTTCCTCATTGGAGTTATTCCTCATCATTATCGATGAAGGTCTCTTTCTCCTAGGGCCTCTTATACCTGACATGGGACTCGAAAATCACCATTATTGAGGCAAGTTGTTGCATACCTTGTCCTTTTAGCTCCAACCTTGCCCATGGTTGCAAGCCATCTTTGTCTAAAACATCGGGAATCTCAAGAAGCAATGTGAAAACTCTTTCATATACCCACGAATTTCACCGTTGTGATCAAGGCACCTCTACATCGACCTTGTCTGAAGCTTTGCATTCTCGAGTAAAATTGCTTTGTAATTTCCCTCTTGAATTATGTCCACAACTTCATGATGCACAACCCTCTATTGGCATCACCTTGCCTTCTTCCCCATCATAGCATAACATTTTCCACCAAATAGAGGGGTCTGGTACGTACTTTCATAGCCTTGTCTCGAATGTTGACTGTCTCAAAGTACTACTACTCCAAGCTCCATAGGAAGTTCGCCGACCTCCTTGCGTTCCTCAATCCTCCAAAGCTCCTTAGTTTTGGAACATCCGCACTTACGACAAGTTGTGTCATGACAGGCCCGTTAGCCATGGCTCTCTTTGTGAGATTCACCTATCCCTTGAGCTCTCCAACCTCTTCTTGCAAGCTAGTAAGCTCGGCCCAGATCATCTCTCTCAAAGATTCGACGGTGTTGTCCAGGATGCCTAGTAGTTCATTGCGAAGTGCCTCTAAGTCCATTTCCAACCCCTTCATGCATTGCCCCGTGCCTTGCATGTTGCCCACAAGTTGTTGTACACATGCCTCCACTTCTGCATAGCCTTGGCTCATCTATCTTTAGTTTCGCCCTCGCAAGACTCTATTCCACCGCTGCCATATCACGAGCTCTTGATTGCGACATATTCCTCTTGTCCTTGCTTGGGTTGAGATTCTTCACTTGATCCTTTCCCAATTCATCGTTGTGGACTTTGGATCCATACGACATCTGGTCATAGATCATTCCTCTATGTGAGCACGAACCAGGGTACTACTAAATTAAAGTAGAACCTTTATGATGTGGAGGTTCAGCCTAAGCTGCAACCACATAACACACTCAGCTTAACCAAACTCTGATACCAATTGTTACAGATTAAACTCTATATGTGCGGCCTTAGCGCTCAAGTTGCTTTAGAGAGCTAAGTAAGCCTTCATCCAAACTTACAAGATTGGAGGAACTCTCTCTAGAGATGTATTACTCTCATGTGTACAAATGAGGGGGATGTGCTCCTTATATAGGCCTCTCCTCCAAAATGGACGGCTAAGATTATATTAATCTAATCCTACGACCATGATCTTCCATCTAAAGTTCTCTACATAAATATCTACATTCTAGAATTCTCTTGAAAATATCTACAAGGCCCCATATCCTTCATGCTCTTACATAAGCTTCTCGGGTCTTCTAGGACTAGAATGCTCCACACTCTTCATAGTGGTTGAGGGTTGAACCTCACCAGCTTGTGCAGCTCGTGTGTGACAGTAGCCTGTGGTTTGTAGTAGTATATATGTATTGCTTAACCCGTATTGTAAACCTAAAGATTGAGTGTTACGTAATACAATCGACTTCAAAAGATTTTCCCTTGTTCATGAATTAGTCTCAACGATAATCATTGAATATACCACGTAAATGTCGTGTTATTTCATGTTTAGCTTATTGTCTAACATATGTACAGGATTGCTACAATATAATAATAAAATAATAATAAAGGAGGGTAAGGGGCAAAGGTTGACTTGCGATTCTCCGGTTGGTGGAGTACTTAAACGTGGAGGATTAGTGTCGCCCGTCTCTCCCCGCTCCATATGGGCTTATTTAATCATACTAATAGTCAACTTCTTATAAGAGTCATTTCTCATCATCATCATCATCCTAAATCCTGCCCTGTGCGAGCACCCAAAGAAGAAAGGAAATGTAAACTCAGGGGTGTCTGCAGGGAGAGAGTACTAGATGTAAATCAGAAGATATAAAAGATAAAATAATTTGATGAATTATTGGACAATTAATTTACTAGCCCTCCCAATAAATTAAATAATGGTATAGAATAAGTAGCAATCTATTGTATACTTGCAAGTTAAGTAAATTCATCTTATAGGTAATCAAATATTAACATATGCAAAGATTGATGCAGAGAGAGAGGATTAATTAATTCTCATGTGTCGTGCTGTTTGGTCGGCCAAACACTGGTAATTATGCAGAGAGAGCAAGACATGCATATCATCAAACAGAGACGGCCTTTTTTTCTCACCAAACTAACTAGTTACTAGTTAGCTACACACAAGAAAACAAATTAATGGGCACGTAGTATCATAAAACAACAAATGAATGAAATTACATATATGATCTATATCCATAATCCATCCATCGCAGTTAATCAGCTAGCTAGCTAGCTATATAGCTATCATCTACGTACCGTCAGTATCGCGTACGGCCACCTATATCCAGATGGAGAGAGCTCAGAGATTCAGCAGCTTATATTAATTTAGAAGAATGTCCAATGGTTTTTGGAAAAAAAAGATAAACAGAGGCAAGGGGAAAAGAGAAAAAACAACAATGAATTAAACTGTCGTTAATATATAGATCAAACTATATATATAATTATATATATTCAACCAGTCATGAGATGATGATTCAGGCGAAGATGATGATTCAGGCGAAGTGTGTAGGTTCTGAGGCGAACCCATGGAGATGATGATGATTAAGATATTGATGGCGGCTGTAATTTTGTTGATGATGATGATGATTTTGGTCCAGCACTGGGAAATCTGCAAGCTCCTGAATGAAGCCATCGTCCAGCTCCCCAAAATACGTCCCACCTACATTCTTGGCGCTGCTAATGCTGTAATTGCGGTCATGGCTGTTAATCCAGAGCATTTCATTTTCCTCCTTCACTATCTTCCCAGACCCAGACCCAGTAGTAGTACTACTCTCCTTGCCCAGAAACTCGAACCCAAACCCTCCGGCGCCACCAAACAGCAAGGAGGAGGAGGAGTTGTCGTCGTTGTTGCCGTCGCTGTAACCACTCGAATACTGACTCCCCGCCCTTGCCTCCTCCCCGTCGTCGCACTCTATCGTCAGCGGCGGTAGAAGGGGCGTCTGCGTTGGCAGCGGGAGCTTGTTGTTGTTGTGATTGTTGCTGCTGCTTTTTCGGGTAGGCGGGCGTGGGTGGTTGGGTTTGCCGGTGAGGCGCTGGACGAGCTCCCTGAAGTTGGCTGCGTCGGTCTTGATGATCTCCGGCGCAAATATGTGGATGATGCGGATCTTGGGCGGCTTCGGCTTACTGTTGTTGTTGTTGTTGTTGTTGGAAATCAGCCGCGAATCTGGGTTGATTCCTAGTCGTCCCCTGGTTGGCGAGGGAATAACAGATGTGGGAGAAGGAAAAGGCGAGGAGGAGGAAGATGGACTACTACTGTTGCAATTGGTGCTCTTCATCCTAGATTGTCAAAGGGCTTGGCTTCTTCACAGAAGGAGAAGAAGGGAGTTGGCTCACAGGGATGGTGAAATATATACTACTGGGATCCATCATCTGCTTTCTCATACATTTATAATTGCTTATATATAAACCCCAAAATGAAGACTGCAGGGAACACACGACAACTAATTATTATATAATAATAATTAAATAAAAGAGATAGGGAAGAAATGATTTGGAGGACAGAAGGCGAGATTTCAGAGCCAAAAACAACCAACCAAACTGGTTCTACTTTGAGGAGGCCAAAAGCGCCAGCAAACCCAAAACAGAGGAGGGAGGGGGAAATCTCAAATAAAAAAATCTGACAAATTGAGAATTGACAAGAGAGAGAGAGAGAGAGAGAGAGAGAGAGAGAGAGAGAGTGGGGGGCCCACATTCATTTGTTAACTACAAAAATGTACATTCCTTAATTACGTTGTAGCTGCTCTCACATTTTGATCTAATTGTACATCCTGCTAATCTGGTTTAGCACTGATTTGAGTCGGTTCAGCTGTTTTGTATTTTATTGCATGTCTGAGGACCGTTTAAGGATCTTAGTTGTGAGTTGGTGGATCAATTTTTCTTCTATTCAATATTTAAAAAACAAACCCCCTTCATTATTATCCTACTATAAAGCCCAAAAAAATAGAGCTGCAAACATATAGAACTCTCCTTCCTGTAGCCAGTCATGCCCTCCCACAAACGCCAGAGTCGCGGGGTGGCGTACCACCTTAATCAAATCCGCGTTTTCTAACCCATCCCTCACTCTCTGTCTCTCTTCGCAATGAAGAACCATTTTTTTTCCATTTATGGAGATCAAGCTAGGCCAGCTAAAAGAAAGGGAAACACAAAAACTCACCTATCTGTAATGAATTCTCACACGCGTTAATACGTAATCTTCCCATAATTAAGACGATTTCATGTGTTAAGTTATTCAGCCGGTTAAGTTAGGGGTTTAAGGTTTAATGGTTTGATCGGAGTTCGACCGGTTTGAGCCGTTTCAAACGTTTTCTATATATATATATATATATATATATATATATATATATATATATATATGGCGTGAGTTTTTAATATATACATGTAAAATAAATTTTATTTCAGTTATTAAAACTGTAATTACTACCTTTATTAGGCGTAAGTTTTTAATATATACATGTAAAATAAATTTTATTTCAGTTATTAAAACTGTAATTACTACCTTTATATAATAAAGGTAGTAATTACAGTTTTAATAACTGAAATAAAATTTATTTTACATGTATATATTAAAAACTTACGCCATATATTTTCCTCGCCGGAAAACAACGACGTTGTTGAACACCACAATATTATCGAGCTCACGGCCTTACCGGCCGTCGTGATGTCGTTGAGTTCGCGAAGTCGTTGAACAAAATTATTATTTCAAAACAAATAATTATTTATGGGCGTAAACATTAAATATCTACTATGAGAGCGCCATTTGTAAGGAGCACAGGGACATATAGCTAGCAGGTGCTTTGGCAGAATGTATCGGTAATAATAATGGATCAATCAAACCCTGTCTGGGAGCAGTCCATGGGATTATTGTCCGATACCCAGAACGATATCAATCACTCTTCTATATTTCCTTCATGATTATCTATAATTCCACAAATTAAGAAGACAGACCAAGTAACGAAACAGTTGAACAAGTCAAGAACCTTTTGCCGTGTGTACGTAGAAAAAAAAACAAAACAAAGAAGCACTTCGATGAAATGATGAAATAAAATATATAGATAGGAACATATTGCATATTTTGATTTTCGATTTTCGTTTCTTAGGAACATGCATATATGTTTGTTTGTTATGGGTACCAATTAGTACAGTTAACAGAAGACGCGTAAACACACAAACAGAACAGAACCCCTGATTCGAAAAGGATATAGCTAGAGAGAGACTAGAGAGTAGTAGTAGTTTAATCATTGATTGGGCCACGTTCATCTGTTTGACGAGCACTTCTACTATACTATATAGCATTGGTGCTTTAATGTACAACTTGAAGTTGTACCATAACATTAAATGTATAAGTTTAGGTTGTACCATAAAAGCATTTGTATCATTATGTTACTTAAAGTTGTACCATCACATAAGGTACAAGTTTAAGTTGTACCATAAAAGAATTTGTACAAAAAGTATAGGTACAATCTGAAGTTGTACCATAACGTTAAAGGTACAATTTCAAGTTGTACTATAAAGGCAAAAACCTATAGCACCAATGCTATATAGCATTGTAAAATTCCTCCTGTTTGACCCCTTCCCATTCCAATACTACATATCACAATCACACACAGTAAGTAATTAAGTTCCCCCGGCAATGGCATAAGCAAGTTTAGAGGCCTTCTTCTATACTATTTCTAAGCATCGATATCTAATGCCTTCACTTTCAGAGTAGCTGTGATTCTTAATTATCAATGATCCTTATTACAAAGGTTCAAACTAATAATCAATAGGGTGCCGGACAAATCTGATACCATGCCTAGTCATAAATGCATGCATCACCAATTCACCATCATGATGTGCCGAGCTCTCTATGCTGTGAGTTGGAACTAGGTGTGTTCTTATTGCACTCTTAATTAAGTCTCTTTCGGTGTATCTCATTAAGCAAATATTAGTGATATGTAGGGATGAAAACAAAATAGGGCGGACTGGTTTCATATATATCATCTCCCAACCACGTACGGTTATAAAATCGTAACCATTCTCGTAACAAAAAATGTATGGAGATGTAATGTGTCATACTAAAATCAACCAGGATGCGGTTCGAGGAAAACCCAACTGCAACATCCTCGAACAATCATGTATAGAGTTTTCTATATATAATCTGAATATTTTATTTTAGGGCTAATACTATTGGGAAACTCGAACTGTCAAGAAAGTGCCACTTGTTTCCTGATCTATTCAATATGACATTTATGTCCTAACGTATGATAATTGTGTGTCATTTATGTCCTGACGATTTCGTTAATCGTTATTTAAATAAAAAATATTTTAAATTCTATATCATATGCCACATCGACACTGATTGAATTACTCGGTCGAAGCTAACAAGAAAAATAGTCCAGGACATAAATGTCATATGGAATAGTTCGGGAAAACAAGAGACACTTTATTGATGGTTCGATTTCCCAGTGGTATTAGCTCTTTATTTTGAAGTTTTCTAGTCACATTGTTTGTAAAATTGAAAGAAAATGAACAAGATTTGAGGCAGGTAATTGTAACGTTTTAAGGATATGCATAAATAAAGTGTTAAAGTGAAAAAGTTTAGAACATAGTTATAATACATATTTGGATAAGTTCGGTGCAGATACTTAAATACCATAACCGCACCGAACCCATTACCTCTTTGTCGGGTCCAGAAAACCCCACAAAAAAATAATGTTTATTGGATTTTTCTCAAAAAAATCAATTCGTACTCGGTTGGGTACCATCTCTAGTGATATGTTGTCGAAGAGTGATAATGAGGATTGAAGTATTAGCGCTTTGGTGGAGGAGGCCTAGGGAGAGAAGTGAAGCTGAGTTGTGCTATTTTTTTTATAATGGCGATATAACTTTTATTGAATTTAAGGAGTAAAGGAACAAAGAAAGAAATAAAATACAAGTGATCCCAGGCAAGTAACCACCTGCAGATTGGCCACAAAATCTCACAGGGGCCACCAGCAAACAAAAGAGAGCCAGTCCCTTGCAATCAAACACTTAAGAACAACCCAGGCAACAAAGCCACAGATCAAAGAGGTTTGACGGCTCAAGACTGGGGGAAAACAAAACCTCACTCCCTCTAAATCCATCAAGATTAAACTGCATTGGAACACTACGCGGGACCAAAAAACACAGTGTTGGGAAATAATCTGTTCTTCATTGTGATCAACCATGTACCTGCATCAAAAACATCAACCTTTTTTCCAGCAGTGAGCCATGAATGAATTGCCCTGCCAATCTTGTAGACTATCACGCGTTGTGGGATTTTCTCGTCATTAAAGGTTCGGGAGTTTCTCTCCAGCCAAACGGTCCAGCAGTAGGCATGTAATGCTATTCTTGTGCACCATTGTTTGGAGTTCTCCGGAGTTGACACTGGCCAGGTTCTCAGTGTTTCTGCAATGTCCGTCACGTTGGCTCTAATGTCTCCAATGTCAACAAAATTTCGCAAGATGTTCCAAATTTCCACCGCGAAGTTGCATTGGCAGAAGATGTGATCCACTGTTTCCTCATCAGCTTCGCAAAGGGCGCATCTATTGGCAAGGCACCACCCTTTCCTCTTCAAGTTATCTACTGTTGCAATTTTTTTATGATAAACCATCCACATAAAGATGCATACTTTGCTGGGTACAATCTGCTGCCAGATTACTTTATGAGGAAAATTGGCTTCTCTTGGAAATCTCTCTATAGCAAGTTGTTGAAACATAGACTTGACGCTGAAGCCGCTCGCAGGTGAAGGATTCCACCTGAGCCTTTCCGGACCTGCAGGAAAAGAAGATGATGGTAGGCTATCAAGTAAATTCATTAGATTGACTCTCTCCCTCTCAGCCCCTCCCCGAAGGTTAACTTTCAAAGGTAAATCCCAAAAAATTCTATCTCCAACAAAATTAAGGATATCTGCGACTCTGGAGTTGGGGAGTTCAGCAGCGGCGGCAACCCTTGGGAATTCATCAGCTAGGCATCGACCCTCAATCCAAACATCGGACCAAAACGAGGTCCAGATACCTCGTCCTTGCTCAACCTGTGCAAAGCGCCAAAAAACTTCTTTCATTTTGGAAATTTGACTCCAAGGACTAGTACCTGCAAGACCAATAAACTCTCCTGGCATCCACTCTGATCTCGTACAAGGGAACTTTACTTGCAGAAGTTCCCTCCACCAAGTGTGTCTTTCATTGGCAAATCTCCACCACCACTTCCACATAAGGGCAAGGTTCTGTATCTCAATGTCAAGAATACCTAGCCCTCCCAACCTCTTCTCTGTTTTGCAAATTTCTCAAGATATTAAATGCAACTTCTTACTTTCTTGTGTCCCGGACCAAATGAAATCCCTTTGAGTTTTCTCGAGAGCTTTGATTACCCTTTTGGGAGCCTTATAAATGGACCCTGTGTAGATGTGTTGGGTGGCAATTACAACATTGTTTAGGACAATCCTTCCACCAAACGATAATAGGCGACCCTTCCAACCTTCCAATCTTCTCTGAACCTTATTCAAGACTGAATTCCAGAATGTAGGTGAGGCAACAGGTGCCCCAAGAGGGAGTCCCAAATAAGTTGTGGGGCGTGGTTCCCAGCCACATTCAAGAATTTCCACTAACCTGGGCAAATTCTGTACAGCCCCAACAGGATGAATTTTGGTCTTCTGCAGGTTCACCATCAAGCCCGTGATACTTTGGAAACATACCAATGCAACCATGACGTTAAATGCTTCTTCCTCGTTGGCCTCGTAGAATATGCTGTTGCTGACTGGGTTACATTGTTGCTAGGAGAATATGATTAATTGAGAAGAAGAGAGACCGATTAAGAATTTGATGGAGTTGGTGATTTAGCTTATCATGCTATAAATAAATTTGATGGGATTAAAAGTACAATGAATGAGTTGGACTACAATGACAAAATGCTCTTGTGTTAATTAAGAAGTGAAAAGTTCAATCCTCCTATATATGGATATATACTTGGGGGTTAGCAATATTTTCCACCCAAAATTATGTATGTCCCATGACGCACCTATATGCCTCTAGCTCCACCAATGCTTAATACCCTTTTTAATTTTTGCGCTTAGCTTGTTGGATTCTTAGTCTAATTATATTTTTTCCAAACATCATGTTGTCCATAATTTATATCGCTAATGGTTAGAAATACATCAATGTTGAATCTTGGTGTTAACAATCATCTAAAAAACATAAGTGATATAAGCTTGAGTCATTTATGCACATTGGTTAACACCCATCTGATTTAATTTAACCCTATGTCGATAATCCTCTATATATTGAAGATTAAAAACAATAGCGATTTAAGCATGCATTATGTTAACAATACGTCAATAGTGATGTTAATTTCAGATGCTTTTGATTTGTATGTATATCCGGGGCCATTAAAGAGGGAATGCTTAAGTTGTATGCAAGTTAATCAGTAGTTCAGTAGAGTAGAGTAATTGAGGTAAAATTATAACTCGGTAAAATGAGAGAGAGAGAGAGAGAGAGAATAACAAGCGTTGGATTAGATGTGCACGTTAAGTGAAGGGCGGAGATTGGCGGGAGGTTGGGGGAGGGGGAATCAGAAGGATCAGTAGCAGGCGGCCAGCGTGTAGTGAATGACAGAATGACGTCATCAAACAGAGGAGAGGAGAGGAGAGGAGAGGAGATCAGATCACACTCCTCTCGTGCCCTCCCACTCCCACCAATCAATCATCACTGCACGCTGTCCTGTTCCTGTACGTGTGTTGCCCACGAATGCCACGTGGCCACCACAACTGAGCTGCCGTTGTGATTTCATTTCAGAGAGGGTAGTCGCGTGGGGCCCAGTAGTTGACGTGGTTACGATACGACTTCTCTCTCCCCCCACTGGTGGCCGGTGGGGCCTACGGCCAGACGGTTGAGATGAGAGGGAGAAAGGGCAGTCGGGTACTATCCCACCGTTGTGTGTGCAGTGTGCCCGTGCGATGCGCGCCCGTTTTGCCCAGTTTGTTTGTTTGTTTGTTTTGTACTGTTGTACTCCTCCCCTGCTGCCCACCGGCCCTTGCTCCTTTGCTGTCACAGATTCTCTAACATGCGCGGTGCGCCCCATCATCCATGCATGGTCTGGGTTAGTAGGGACTACTACTTTTACTATTTTACCTTCCCCTCCAAGTTAATTTTAGTGTTCCAATAAAGAAAAATAAAAGTTGCTTTCAGTAATTAAGTACTGCCAGATCAGATCAGATACCTTCAACTTCGAGCAATTATCTCTAGATACCTAGGCATTCCTTTAGTTAGGGTAGTCGTTTGCTCAAATATATTTGAGAAATGTAGATATTTGCAAATTAATTGTTTTTTTAATAGTACTTAGATGAATCATTCATAAATGAATTATTTGTATAATGTTACCATTTTTCCCTTACATTTAAAATTTCATTATCTTGTTTTATATCCCCATAAAACTAACCACATAACAAAACATATGATTACGAGTCATGTATAGTACTTTCTAATATTAAATAATATTATATGTTAAATTGATGTATAGACATTTGCATCTCTTTCTTTCCATTTTATTTGTCATGAATTCTTCTTCCACTCACTTCAAAGATTAAGTCGGTGTATTGTTATCAATGCATGCATAATAATATACATGTATATAAGAAAATTGGTGCATTGTAATTTACATTGTTTGGTTTCTGTAATAGTTATTGTAGTGTTTAAATAAATTATATTACTTTATGGGTGAAATGTCATTTGTACCCTTTGTTTTTAGTATAAAAAAATAACATATATAAAAAACGTAGGGACATAGTTGGAAGAAGAAAACAACACAACAATCTTAATAAAAACTTGAGATTTAACTATCACTTATTTTGAGTGATAGTTTGTGTCACATCATGCAAACAATGCATGTATTGTTTCTCTCCACAAAAAAAAATGCATGTATTGTTTATGCAGAAATTTAAAAAAAAAAGATACATCGTGAATAGAGGGGGCAATTAAGATCCAAATCTATGAATCCAATCCAATCCATCCACCAAATTATCCATCTAATCCAATCCATTTGATCCAAATCCAATTGGATTGGTGGATTCATGGATCAATCCATGGATCCAAATGACAAATTACAATTTAGTACCTATATTTTTTATATTTGACATTTTTGTACCTAAAATTTATATTTTTATACGAAAATATCATTGGTAAATTACATTTTGGTACCTAAAACTTTTCATTAAGACATTTTAGTACCTAAACTTTTCAAAATTTATATTTTGGTCCAACCTTGTATGTCATTTGGATTCATGGATCAATCCACCAATCCATTGAATCCAATCAATGAATCCACCAATCCATTGGATCCATGGATCCACCAATCCAATCCACAAATCCAATCTAATTGTCACCTATAATTATGAACATTGCATGCATTGTAACTATTCCAACCAAACTATCCCAAAACCAAACGAAACCTAGGAGAATTGTTAAGATTTATGCTTTTGAGGGATCATGGTAGCACCTGAAGAAAAAGGACATGTCATTTTTCCGTTGAGGAAGCAATGACAACTGGCAATGTACATTATTTAGGCAATGTACATTGTTGGTAAATAATATGTTCTCTTTACCCCATTTTTTTTAATCTCTTTACCAGTGTTATTAAAGCCGAGCCGAGCCGCTCGGCCCGATCGGTAAAACCGCCACCCGGTCATAAAACGGCTCGAAACAGTCTAAAAGCCACTCCAATTTTATGAAGCGGTTGGCGAGCGGCCGAGGTGGTTAACCGTTCGAGCCGATTGAGCCGCTGGTCCGGTTTTTACCATGCAGCCACTAAATTTAATAAAAAAAATTGCAGAAAATTGAAATAAACAAAAAACGTAGGGCTCTCAAACTGAATCCTTATTTTCATTTCACAATTGCGAAGGAAAGAGATGAGCTCTGATTAATAAATGTCTGCTATTTATACTGATAACGTTTATTAGGTACCGGTTCACTAACGGTTTTTAAACGGTCTAATGCCGGTTGGACCACTAAAGTGCGAGCCGTTCGCATTACCGGGTCATGCTCCGGTTCGGTTATCACAACATTGCTCTTTACCCCCTAAATAATGAGAAATTTTACAATACTATATAGTATTGGTGCTATAGGATTTTGCCTTTATGGTACAACTTAAAATTGTACATTTACGTTACGGTACAACTTTAGATTGTACCTACACTTTTTGTACAAATTCTTTTATGGTACAACTTGAACTTGTACCTTTATGTTATGGTACAACTTCAAGTTGTAAAGTTGTACCATAACATAATGGTACAAATTGCTTTATGGTACAACCTAAACTTATACATTTAATATGTTCATCCATACTATATAGCATAGTAGAAGTGCTACCTAAATAATATGTTCCTTTCTTATTCGTGTTCGCGAAACCCTTATTAAAGTTATCATCCCACCCATACCCATACATGCACACAACGTCAATTAGCTCCATAAATTAGCAATAAACACTTCTCTATGTCCATCCATTTAAGAAAATTTTATTAGTTTGGCAAATTGCACCAAATTTGGTTGAAGGTACATGCAATTCTCCTTTAGAGGTTTGTCACATCAAATTTATCTGTATCCGCTAATTAGATCAGTTACACAGTGAATTCATGTAAAGGGAATAGCTCTTGACACAAGAGATCAACAACAATTGGCTTTCATAAGGTGAACTTTATCCATTTCGTAATAGTGAATGGTAATTGCATGAATTTTTTTGTTTGTTTTATGATGCATGTGTTGTGCAAAATAACTTGTTTTTGCCAATATATTCAAATGGTATGATATTGGATTGAGGATAGCACTATCTCAGCCAATTACATGGAAAGTGTGACAAATCTATTCACTTCCATCTGAAACTATAACGGCATGTCAGACTACGTTTAATTCACTAACGGAATGCTGACTCGATGCCATCTCACATGCCACATTAGCCAAAAAGCAACAAAACTTTACATGTGGATGCCAAATAGGATAGTTGAATAAAAACGAAAAATGAAAAACCCACTTCCCTTATTTAACCCCGTCGGGCTCTTCCCCCCTTACCCCAATCTAAAAAAATTAGGGTTCATCAATATCCCCGTCAGCTGCGTGTGTTCATCATCCTCGTCAACTCGTCACCGGCGACAGTCAACCACATCGTCAACAGACAACTTCGCGACATGCATCACTTCCATTTCCTGCGAATCCGAGTTTGGCGAGGTTGGTCTTAAGATGTCGAAGCGTGTATCTTCAGCTGCGACAAGCATCAACAACGGTGGGGTGGTTCTTTGTGAGCACAATGTTCCCGTCGTCGTCAAAACGTCTGGTATCTCGACCAACCCAGGCAGGCAATTCTATGGATGCCCATATTGGCAGGTAATACATAGAATCTTACTTTCAATTCCTTTGTCACTCTTTTGGTTTTGGTATGTTGACTAGATGGTTAATGGTACAGAATGCGAAGGGAAAAACGAACTGTCGTTTTTTAGGTGGGTCGAGAGGATTGATGATGAAAACTAGGAGCTTGAGGGCATAATAGCGCAATTGGAAGAATCTTTGCGTCTTGCTGAGTCCAAGGCAGAGAGAAGGAAGAAGGAGAAAAATGCTTTAATCAAAGATATGGTAGCTTAAGGAAGGAGATTGAACGATGATATTCAAGCAATTCGATTCATGAGAGCCATTGTGATAGTGTCGAATGTTTTCTTTCTTCTTGTTTTGTGGATGAACCAAGCTGGTATGTAGAAGAAATGAGGGAGAAGTTGTTTTGTGAGGGGTACTATGTCAAAGTCAATTACAAACTTCCTAATTAGTTAGGAGTACTAGCATCCTGATAGTACTAATCGAGTCATATTACAAGCATCCTGATAGTAGTACATATGTCATAGCATGACTAATGTTTAAAAGTAGAACCCAACAACATGTCCTAACTTTACAAAACACCACACCAACTGAGTCGACTTCCAAAATATCCTCCTCTGAGGTCAGTACATGGGGTTCCCGAAAATTGAAATCGACTCATTACAACTAATTTGTTCATCATGTATCAGGTTGTGTTGCGGGGGGCTGACTTCCCTGGACATCTACCACTGTAGGTTGAGCCATATCCACCGAATGCTCACTTGCTCCATTGAGCTGAAAATTAACATTGAAGTTATTAGCAAATGTTAAGTTAGACACAAATCGAAATGCAAAAGGAAATCTAATCATTCTAACTTACCCTAACATACTGGTTGCCACTCTCAGCTACATAGACTCATATTCCTCTTGCTGCTTCTCTCATCTCACGTTCAATGGTAATTCGATCATCCACATTCGGCATCACTTGCTACATAAATAGTGCACAACACAATCCACTCAGTTCTGTCATTCTAACATTATCAACTTGCTACATAAGTAAGGAAAAATTATTCACAAACCAGTATTCCAGCCCCTTGATTAAGGGGACATGTTTTAGCATTATGTGCACATGATCCACATTTGCTGCAATGGGCAACTCTGGCCCTTTTCCCGTTGTAGATGGAGGTTCTTGCATGGTAACCCTAGGTCTAGGGATGGATCTGTTCCTCTTCCAAATACCATACAATTTAGTAGTTAAAACTTGTGGTAAATAGGGAATCTAGTAAGACTGAAATAATGTTTGAAAGGGCCACTCAGAGTGTTAGGTGCCGCTAGGGATGGTAACAAAACCCGAACCCACGGGCACCCACCCGACCCAACTCGGTCAACGCGGGTAAAACCCGTGTTGACGGGTTTTGGGCTAGGTTCGGGTTTAAACCCGCTACACTATTCACCGGGTCGGGTTGGGTTTGGGTTTAGGTAAATCCGCCCCATGGGTACCCACCTACACACATATAATTACTTTCCCGGTATATTTAATATTCTAAATAATATATTTTTCTTAAACAACTAATATTCTATATGTTTGTGGAGACATATATAATTTGTTCTTTCTAATTGTTTAGAATGAAGTTGATATTATGAAGTGGAGAGTGAAGAAACTTAGTTGACGAGGAAGAAGCTTCCAATTAATCTTATTGTTTATATATGTTTATCTTTAATTTTGAACAATTTGTATTGATCATTTGCGTGTTGTTTGTATGCTCTATATTGGTGTTTTTTGTATGATTAATTTGTATGAGAAAATTGATGTTAAACTTTTATTTTGAAAGAAACTTGTTATGGTAGATTTTTACCGCAAAAACCCACGGGTATCCATAAACCCGCGGATACCCAGCGGGTTGGGTTTGGTTTGAGTTTTTCAAACCCAACGGGTTTTACCCCGGGTTTTTTTGATGGATAACCCATGGGTTTGGGTTTGACAAAACCCGCCACAACCCGACCCATTGCCATCCCTAGGTGCCGCAGCAACAGTGGGAGCTTTACAAGTTCTTGCACCGTGGCCCTCTCCACCACACTTCCTACAATGGATTATGATTCCCCTCTTCGAGACTTCCTCACCAACTCCATTCGCTTGAGGTCAAATCTCAAACTCATGAGCAGCCTTCCTCCTATTTTTTTTAGGTCTTCCAGGCATAGCCCTTTGTTTAGGAGGGAGGACAGGGTAGCCAGATGCATTAGGCCATGCTTGTCTCCCATCGAAACAAGGAACACCTACCTTGTATGCATCTAAAACTATGCTGAGTATGGTATGAAGAAGCTACATAGTCATCAACTTCTTTCCTCAAATGTGAGATGGCCGATACAACATGACAGCATGGTAGTCCACTTAATGCCCAATACCCACATGTATAGGTCCTACTGTGGAGGTTCACTATATACCCTCTACTCCCCATCCTAACCTCGCACTTGTCATACAAGGTTTGCCTAAACATGCACAATCTAGCAAAAGCCTTCTCCTTCTCGATTCTGGATTCTCATTCCCCTATACTTGATAATTGAACCATTCCATGTTTCGCATATATTACTTTCCACAGAGGCTCTTGATCCATGAAATCCTTATAGGGTGTTGAATTCGGGTCTGCTTGTTCAATTGCCTCCATTTCTGCACATGCAGCCTTCCAATCCACTTCATTACATGAGTACACAGCCTTCCAGAAGCATTTGCGCACAACATCCGTCTTATTTTTTGCTTTTCAATTTTCATAGACATGCCTCACACACTTTCTATGCTCAGCTTCAGGTAGCAGATCATGTAGAGCATTATCTAATCCTTGCCATTGAAATCCCATTCAATATTAAACTGCTAGTAATGTGTCAAAGGATAAATGTGTGAAAGTAAAGGTAAATGACACATGTAGGAATGCAACTAACCTTCTAGCCTCTTCCATCTAACATTCCTAATTCTTGCGACAACGTGTTCAAAAACCACCTCCAAGAGTCTGCATATTCACCCTCCACCACTGCCCAAGCGATTAGGAACATCTGGTTATTCCCATCTTGGCCATTTGATGTAAGGTTATTCCCATGAGAAAACCGTCTCGGAGATTTGATGAGAACCCTACATACAGCCTCTTGAAGAACACTTTCTCTTTATTAGAATGCGGTTCCACCTCCAAAATGAATCTCCCACATCTGTTCTGTTTGAGCATTTAAGCTATGTAGCTAAACCTCATACTCAGCCACCAAAATCCCACTCAACAGTTTTATAGCTTCTACCTTTGCCCTGTAGCATGTTCTCCTCTTAACATCAATGTTGTGCTTCAATTTTACCTCATCCATTATCTGACCTGGAGCCCACTCTGAATTTATCCTAAATCTTTCTAACATATATGCTGCAATCCAAGCGACAATAGCTTGATTCACACGCAGATTACGTGCACAAGAGTGATTGAGTCCTACCTTTCTGACCATGAAGCTTTGGTTCTTCCTAAACCAGCTAGCATATACCCTCCATTTGCATCGACTATCCTTACATCTAACCTCCCTTCTAGATGGTTCACTCCTCACCCATCTCAAGCAAGCTCCGGCTTTTACAGAATGCAACACCACTACATTCTTGAACTGTTCTACACTTGCAAACTTCAGACGAGGAACAAATTGAAACTGAGAATGATCACATGTAGGATCATAGTGGGGAGCATTAGCAAATGGTTCACCACCATCCTCATCCGAAAAATTACCTCTTCCATGATCTGAATCTTCAGAAAGACGATAGCTAGAATGTTGGGAAGTCTCTCCCCTGACTTCATGTGCGGGAGGCTCTTCATTGTTCATGCCTGCTTGCTCAGTTCTCGTACTAACATGGTCTGCCTAAACATCACCATATTCGGCAGCACCAGCTTCATCATCTCTTTCATTATGACTATCCTCTTCTTCAAACTCATCTAGCTGCTCAACCTCCTCCCCATGATAATCAGACATGGTCTTCACCTAATTTTTTTCATCTCCCTGTATGCCCTTAGATTGCCCTTGCTGCATGATACTCATCATCTGAAGTGTCTACATCGTCATAGTCGTAGACGTGGAAGACTTCTCTAGCCACAGATTAAGCCCCATCCTCTGCTACAAAGCTATCAGGTGAGTCTCCCGGTTGTCCTGGATCATTCTCCCCCACCAATTCTTCCCACGAGTAAGCCATCTGAACATAAACATGACTAACAATATCATGGACAAATCACCACTAATTGCGTATTAACCTACTGTTTTTATACTTTATTACTCACTACCATCCAAATAAACATCCATAGAAACCATTATTCTATGATGGGGATTTCACAATCCAAGAATGTAAATGCGATTATAACCAGGAGAAGGAGGTTCTCACTGTCAGATTAAGGGGCAAAATCGCGACAACCAGACTTCCCCAGAAAGCAGTGGTTCCTTCTCGATATTGCTCTGTCGCTTTCCCGCCTTTAAATTAAACACTGAATCAAAAAAAGGAGACAATCCACTATATTAACCTTACGATCCAAAATCAAAAGCCACAACAAGAAGCTTTGAAGAGTATGCGAAACTCACTAGAGGCGAAAAACGAAGAGGCCAGCAAATGGAGCTCCTTTCTTCACTACGATTAGATTTTTTCGAAAGAAAACTTATCGGCTGTCCTGGCCTTCAACGTCGCCTTAGACTTTCTCACAGAGCTCAGAAATCGTCTGGAGTACGGTCGTCCTGGGTATCACCATTTGTTACCACTTGAAACCATGGACTTCCAAAGCAATTTTCTACTCGCAATACTTTCACGTCTACCGCAGGGAAGTGCGATTTCCATTCTAGTTTCTTTGTAAAAGCTAACGACTCTAGGAGTCTCACATTCGGGCCAATTACGACTTATTCTTGAAGGAGGAAACTCCAATGACACGAAGATGTAGAGTCACGAGAAAATAATGTAGACGATAAGATGGATGAACCCCATCACCGCTCGTAAAATTTGGCGGAAAGAAAAAAAATTGGTAATAGACAAAAGAATGGTAGGGGAAATAAGTAATAGAAACGCAAGGGTAAAAGTGAGTTTATGAAAAAGTGACAAGAATATAATTGAATAGTTTTGCTAAAATAATGAGTCATTTGATAATGACTCATAGATAGGAGGCATTTGTAAATGACTCAATAGAGTAATTTGAGTCTTTTGTATGAGCCAAATGACTCATGCAGTTTTTTGTCAGCAAATGAGTCATTTGTTACCAAATAACTCAATTTAAGTCATTTGAGACCAAATGGCTCATTCAAATAACTATAGCAAACGACCCCTTAAAGTTTAAAGAATGTCAAGACTGACAACCTATCTATTTACCGTCCGTTTTTTCCATCATCTTTTTTAAACTGTAGTGAAAATTAAGTCAAAGGTAATTCTGAAAACAAAAAATTAACCACATATTGCCGCCCCTTCACATATAAGTATAACTTTCCATCTTCCTCTCCCTCGCCCCCAATTTTGGTATTGTCCTCCAAAGGGCGAGATTAAGAATAGATAGTGAATTGAGGGGAACCATTTTCGGAGAATGGTTCTCCAAATGGTCATCCAACAGTTCATATTATAGGCCCACTTATTTAATATTCCATGTTTGGTTAGAGAAATAGATAGTTGATTGAGAGGTTCATAATTTATTAATTGGACTAACAAGTGGGGTTTTTTAGTCTAGCAAAGTTTAACTATTTCATTTTACTTATATGTTGTATGTGTATATTCGGATTGAACAAAAATCATATTTCATATATGTGATATGTGTATCTGTCATTTCAATAGCTTGTGTTCATAATGATAAGAACACATTAGAAAAAAAATTCGTACTGAACAAAAAATAATTGCGAATTGAAAAAAACAAACATATTTCATATGTGATATATGTATTCGTCATTTCCACATCTCTCTCGTCACCTATCCTATCCGCCTCTCTCTCGTCATCTTTCTCCATCTCACCAACCTTTCTCTCCTCCTCTCAATCCACTGGGAGAGCCTCCTCCTCCTCCTCCATATTCTCTTATATGACTCGGTCGACGAAGTCATTCCTCTCCTCCTCCTCCTCTCAATCCATCGCTAGAGCCTTCCTCTTCCGATCCACATTCTTCGGCTTCGCCTCCGCCACATCACGCCTTCTTTAGAGCTCCAAATATGCCTTTCCTATTCATCGTCCCTGTCGGGGTGTGGTTACTACCACGGGTTTCCATTAACATGAGGTTGGTTGGCCTCTAGGGTTTTGGACTCACAACAAAAAAAATGAAACTACAAAACGAAATAGGAAGGCTCATCGCTCTTTCCTCCCCCTTTATTTATGTTTCTAGTATTGGTGTACCCTCTCTGGTATTGGTTTTCGAAAATGTAATTAACATGAATTTTGAACTTTCCAAAATATAATTTAAAAAAAAAGAAGCTATATTAACTTTTCATACAAAATTTATCCTTAGTTTGTCTTTACAATAACTATAGGATATGCACCGTATCTTATCCCGGAAGACTCATGGAGTCGATTTATCCACTTGCAGTTGTGGGAGGATATAGATAAAATTTGATGAAGTGTATGTAGCGTAGAGTAGGATTAAATTATAATGAAATCATTATTATTGTCTAATTAAAAAACCAAAAGTCAATCCAGGCAGGGTGATGTATAATGCGTGTACTTTGCTTCTACCTCGTAGCAACATCACAAAGAGTGATAACTTAGCCAACCCTCCAAAATTTCCAAAACGCACTGGAAAATGTCATTAATTAACCTCCTCTTTGGTATTCTTCATTTATTTATTGGCTAGTTTAAATCAGACAAGACGGCGGATAATGTTCATTGCAGCAGCACTCTACTAGTGTCTAGTGTATAGTAGGATGGGCATGTGAGCGGATGATCCGTGGATTTCATTCGATCCACCCGCAAAATGAGCCAAACCGTGGTATTTGGGTGGACTAGTGGGTGGGTCACGTATTCACTCCACACCCTCGGCCCAGGCAAAAAAGTTAGTCTCCTAACAGGCCATTTTGTTAGGAGATACTGACAGGGTCAGATTTTGAGCCACGTTTGCTTGGGCTTCATCCAACAGAGGAGAGTGGCGGCTGGGTGGTGGCTCACTTAAATGAGCTGGAGATGGGCTTCCGTGTAGAAGCCGGCCCAGCGTGCGGCCAGAAGGCGAGCCGAGCAAGTGGCGTGGTGGGCCCGGCTTCAGTTTGGGCGGGATTTTGGGTTGGAGTGGAAAGAGAACGAAATTTTTGGGCCCCATGTGATATATATGTATGTTTGTTTGTGTGGATATTTATTTGTTTTCAGTCGATATTATTATGTGTTGTGTTGATATTACTTTGCATCATTGTTGAAATGAACTAGTATTCTTCCTTCGCAAACCAATATCCATCATTAAATTAATATTTACCAAACTCCAAAATAACCCAACCACCCAAAACTGATTACACCAATTTAGAGTTTAAGTTTTAGGGTTTATGGTTCGGTTTTCAATTTGTGAAGGATTGGAATATTGTTTCTTACATAAAATTAAACACACTAGGAAATTAAACACACTAGGAAGTCCTAACATGTAAGGCTTGCAACCTTAGTTAGGGCTGCCCGCCGAGGGCCCATGGGCTGAAGGCCCATTAAATAATAATAGTTTTATGATTTAGGGTTTGTGTTACGGTTTAATGTTAAGAGTTTAGGGTCTAGTTTAGGATTGAATGATATTAGTTCATGTTTTCGAAATTTTCTTGGACTTTTGGATATTCTAATAGGGCTTTTTTGGTAAAGTGATTAGGGTGTTAGTGTTAGGGTTTAGGTGATAAAATATTATTATGTGATTAGAGTAGTCGATTTTTGTCTGTGGTGATAAAATATTATTATGTGATCGGAGGATATTAGTTGGCGATGTGTGGATATTTTGGCTGTGTAGCAGGATATTATTTTGTAATCGATGGATATTAGTTAGGGTTGGTGAGGATATTTATTATGGGAGAAACGAATATTAGTCTGGGTGGTGCGGATATTTTTTATGGTAGGAGTGAATATTAGTCTGGGTGATGTGGATATTTTTATATGTAGTACGGATATTGGGGCACTTTTGGTAACTATTCATATGTGATCCTTTGTTTATTTAAGCATCTAGCATCACACACTTAGCCAACCATATTACACCAATTTACGGTTTAGCGGTTAGGATTTAGGGTTAAGGATTTAGTGTTTAGTGTTTAGCGATTAGGGTTTAGAGTTTATGTGTAGTTGGTATTAGTCTGCGATGGTCAGATATTAATCTGTGTGTGGTGGGTATTAGTATGTGATGGGCAGATATTAATATGTGTGTGGTGGGTATTAGTTTGCTACGGTCAGATAATAGTCTGGGTAGTTTGGATATTTGTTATGTGTGGATGTTTATCTACTGATTTGTATATGATTACATCAATTTAGGGTTTAGTGTTATGGTTTAGACTTTAGGGTTTAGAATTAGGGTTTGGAGTTTATGATTTAGGATTTGACTTTGGGGTTGAGGTTTAGAGTTAAGGGTTCAGGGTTCAAGCTTTGTGTTTAGTGTCTACGATTAGGGTTTGAGTTTTGGTTTCGGGTTTAGAAGACAATATTGTGGAAATGATTTTGAACACAATGTAGGGTGATCAATTTTAGTGTGTGGTGATAAGATATTATTATGTGATTGGAGGATATTAGTTCATGATGTGTTGATATTTTTGCTGTGTAGCCGGATATTAGTCTAAGACATCCATATATTAATCTGTGTGTGGTGGGTATTAGTCTGTATGGTGAAGATATTGATTACGAGCTGGCTCGATATTGGTATTAGGCGGTGGGATATTAGTCTGGGTGTTCTGGATTTTGTTTATGGTGAACGAATATTATTCTGGGTGGTTTGCATTTGTTTTTTTGTGGATGTTTATCTATGTTTGTTTGTGTTGATATTTAGTTTAAGCAAATTCATAATAAAACAAAGTCATTTTTCGATAAACTGCGATACAACTAGTATTTATTGTCATTCCAACTTGGCAATCCCATAATCTAAATCTAAAAAAGTATAACTACATAAAAAAATAGAAAAGGAATAGTTCAAATGTTGTCTTGCTCGTGCAAATTCTCGATTATCTTCTTTCTCAAGTCCCTCCGAGCCCCCCACGTTTCAATCATGCCACGACGAGGTTGGGATGATCCTTCTCTTACGGTCTCTTCGTTGTTGTTTTTGTTCTTGCCATTGTCCAATATCCCTGGAGCATATATAAATATCCACGTATAAATCAACTGATTTATTGGCCACACAGAACTAATATAAGGAAACTATAATCCACACAATAAAGAGCAAACAAATATCCAAACATGGAGAACAAATATCCAAACATGGAGTACAAATATCCAGACATGGAGTACAAATATACAGACATAATATTTTCAATATCTGGACATCACAGAACTAACATTATAGAAGTAATATCCAGATACAACGAACAAATATCCAGACATAATATAACAGATATCTCAACTGCACAGACCCATATCCAATCAAATCCACAAACCCAGAAAACATATCCACAAGCATGCTAATTGTTATCCACTATGAAAGAAACTAATGTTTTGGATCTACAATTCGAATCTCAGATCTCAACCACACAACTATCCAGACAATTGAAAACCGATATCATGCCCGAACATAGCTAATATCGAAACGCATACAAAACATATCCACAAAACCCAGAAAACAAAGAAACCCAGGTCCAGTCAAATCCACAAACCCAGCAACCCAAACTCAGATTCAATCAAATCCACAAACCCAGAAAACATATCCACAAAATAAAAAAATAAAAAACAACCCAGATCTAGTCAAATCTAAGTTACCAGAAAACAAATCCATCAAACTCATCCAGAAAAACGTAGGAAAAGGAAAACCCAGATCTAGTGGAAGCTATGAAAACGAACATGAGTATCCATGACCAAAAGCAAAAAAAACTCTACTACCTCAGTAAATGAAGTTGTTCTTTCGTCAACGGCTGCCGTCAACCAACCCCTTCGTTGCCGCTGCTACGTCGCCGCCGTCGAGTTCGCTGCAAAGCGCCGCCGTCGAGATCTTTGTCGTCGTGATCGTCGCCGACAAGTTCGCCGCAGCGCGCGGCCGCTTCTTCTGCGTTCGGGAGAGGAGGAAAGGGAAAAGGAGAGGAAAGGGAGAGAGAAAGGGGGAAAATAATGTGGCGGAGAACTGAAAAGGGGTAGGGTTTAAGGTAATTTTTTGGGTTTTTGAATTTGTGGGCCCGATGGGCCCCGCAGGCCGTCGTGGGCTTGGCCCAGCCAATAGAATCGGCTCTCCTCCCTCACATTCTGGCGCATTTTCTCCTCCACCGATGGATGGTGGCTTGGCGACGTGGAGGCCCATCCAGCCATGTCAGTATCTCCTAACAAAAGCCCTTGTTAGGAGCATAACTAGATTGCGGCCCAGGAGGCGGATGGTTGACGAGTGGGTGGCGGGTTGCCCGCAAACCCGATCACCATCAAAGTTGAATCCCAATTCTAGAATTCCTCTCATCTTTCCTTTCTCTCTTCGATATATTGTCATGCAGCAGCAGAGTCCAATTTTCCAAATAAAAACTCCATAGTTCTCAATGGAATTCCAAAAGGCCAGGGTCACTAAGTTTGATGTATTTTCTATCGATTTTGTTTCTTCTCCAGGTGTTAGTTTACTTTATGACAGCTGGGTGATAAATCCATTGACTTTTGCTGCTTGCTTTTTCACTATATGCATCTTCAATCAGAAGATTGGGCAAGAAATGCAGAAGTTATGTTAGCAAGTCAATAGCTCATTTTACATGTGTTGATTTCTGGGTAAACCCGACGATCCAACCGAATCATCCGTCTTCCGCCCTATCCAACCCGATGGTAAGTGTGGGTGGGTGACGGGTGAAAAATTGTCAATCCGTTGACGAATGGTGTTAGAAACAAGGTTTCTAACGTGTTTAGGGATTGGGGAAATTAGCTAGATCAATTAGGGATTAGGAGATATGAATTTGAGAACAAGAAGGGGGAAAGAGAGGGAAGCTGCTGCCGCAGCTATGGAGGGAAGCTGCTGCCGCAGCTATGGAGGGAAGAAAGAGAGGGGAAAGTCGGCGCAAGAGAGAGAGAGGGAACAAGATTAGGATTTAGGTTTTAGTTATGTAATTTCTTAATGAAAAATAATGCCCTAGTACAGATTATATAATCCGCCTAATTCCTATCAATTACCCAACTAATGAAACATAACAATCAACTCCCTGTTTATTCCCAAATTCCCCAAATAATACCCCGAACCTTAAAAACTCACAATAATCCGAATTAATTAAAACGACAAATAATGTATTTCCACATCCCCGCTTCCTTCGAAAAACAACATTGTCCCGAAGGTTGTTCCTTTAGCTCACTAGGCCTCCTCCTCGCCATTTCCGCCGTCCTCGACCTCATCTTCTGCTTCATCTTCCCAGCACCCAACTAACATCATCAAATCCGGCTTCGGGCACTGATGCCCGATGGTGAACCGGCCATCACAGTTGAAGCACTTTCCTTCCCGCCTTTTCTGCTCAATCTCCGCCGGCGACAGTCGCACGAACCCTTTTGGGATGGCCCGTGGTCCCAGCCAGGCCACCGGAGCAGAACCTCCACTGCTCACATTAGCCCAGTCGAGCCTCCTCCTGGCGCCCCTCCTGTACCGCCACTGCTCCCGCTACTTCCTCCTCCTCCACTTGACTTCGAGAAGCGGCCAATGGTGCTCCTCCAGCTAGCCAGTTCTTCCTCCTTATGACGTGCACGACGGAAAGCAGCTTTCAAAGAATCGGGCTCGAACACTCTGACGGCCGCTGCTATCTCGGGCTTGAGACCCGCCATGCACAGCCCCACCAAGGTGTCCTCCGAGACACCTTTGCACTGGTTCCCCAACTTGAAGAACTCCGCACGGTATTCAGCCACCGTGCTGGTCTGCTTCAGCTTCGCCAACTGCTCAGGAGCCCAACCGTCGGACTTTCCAAACTGATAGCGGAGCTCCTCCTAAAACATGGGCCAAGTAATCAAAGTTGCTGCGGCTGCGTAGAATCTCTCCATCCACTCTCACCACTGAAGCGCATCTCCCTCCAAGTAGAACGATGCTAGATAGGCCTTCCTCTCTTCCGGAATTGGGTGGTTCTTAAACCACCTCTCAACTGCATACAACCAAAGGCTTGCATCCTATTGCCCATTGAATTTTGGAAACTCAATGGTAGGAGGCTTAGCTCGAAAAACTACTCCATCCATGCCTTCACAGTTCATATAATGGGACCCGTACCTGTCATTTCCTGGGGTCCTCCACGGCTGCCGAAATGGAGCGCCCTGCATCTGGCTTGGGTTCCCGTGCCCATCATCACCTGGGTAGCCTCCTGGCTGGATCGGGTACCCTCCTAGAGCGTGAGGTGCCTCGTAAGGTCCCTCCCAACCTACTGGTCCCCTGCTGTCCACTCGCCAGATCGGCTGAGAAGTCGGGCTCGGTCGATGCCCGGTTTGACCCACCTCCCGTCGACCTGTTCTGGTCCGACCCAGTCCGGTTCAGCTCAACTCGGTCCGATCCGGGTCGGTTCGCCCGATCCCGGCCCGATCCGCTGCGGTCCGCCCCCTTGGAGCCGACCCTCCTTGCCCCATCTGGTCACCGGCCCTCCTCGGCCCACCCGGCCCCTCATGTCCAACTCCGGTTCGGCCCACTGGACCTGCTGATCTGCCAGGCTCAGTTTGTCGTACTCGGGCCCATCTTCAAGATCCAACCATCCCAGCCCGTTATGGACCTTCGTGTAGTGGCCCAACAGTCCCGGCCCATTACACATAGGCGGCCCATCTGTGTCATACCTGGGCATCTTAGCCTTTCCCTTCCGGGCCGCAATCTCTTGGGCCGTAGGCGTCCGTAACAGACCCGAGCCCAACCCTACTGCAATTCGATTAGCTCGGCCCGACCTGGTGTCCGCCGCCCTGCTCCCTTCGTCCGCCGCGATCGGCGCATCGGCCTGAGCCGTCGCCGCCCTCGCCGCGATAGCCCCGCCGCCGGCTTTCGAGTGAGCCGCGCCCACTTGCGCCGCTGGCGCCGTCGCCGTTGGGGTCCCGCCGACAGCCGTCCTTACAGCCGCGGTCGCCGCCATCTCCGCCGCCCCCGACGCGCCGCCTCCTTCGGTCGCCGACTCCGCCGGAATCGGCGCTCCCCCTGATCCGTCTCCCTTTGCTTGCAGCGAGCCAATCGCCCGCATCAGGTCCTCCAGCCTTTGTCGCAGATCATCAGCATCCGCCTTCGCGTCAGCCTGCACCCTTGCCAGCCCTTCTTCGAGCCGAGCCAGCGCATCAGAATGCTCGTGCACCACCAGTTTCACCGCCTCCAGCTCGGTGACGTCCTCCATCACCACCCCATCGAGATCAACATCGCCCGCCTCGGTGTTCCTCCCGGCTGCCTGAGCTGCCTTCTCCGCTGCCTTGATGGATTTCGTCGACACCATTGTTGTTTGCCCTGGTTCAAGAGCTCAAGAACTCACTCTCGAACCTTGCTCTGATACCAGATGTTATAAACAAGGTTTCTAACGTGTTTAGGGATTGGGGAAATTAGCTTGATCAATTAGGGATTGATCTAACTAGGGATTAGGAGATAAGAATTTGAGAACAAGAAGGGGGAAAGAGAGGGAAGCTGCTGCCGCAGCGATGGAGGGAAGAAAGAGAGGGGAAAGTCGGCGCAGGAGAGTGAGAGGGAACAAGATTAGGAGTTAGGTTTTAGTTCTGTAATTGCTTAATGAAAAATAATGCCCTAGTACAGATTATATAATCCGCCTAATTCCTATCAACTACCCAACTAATGAAACATAACAATCAACTCCCTGTTTATTCCCAAATTCCCCAAATAATACCCCGAACCTTAAAAACCGACAATAATCCGAATTAATTAAAACGAAAAATAATGTATTTCCCACAAATGGGTGGGTTCATTTTACAGTCAAAACCCACACGATCCACCTGTTTCCCACCCCTAGTGTATAGTTTATACAACTCATGAAATTCAGTTTCGAGGTCTGGATCAGGTCAGTAACTGATAGGTCAGTTACCTGTCAGTAACCCCTTCATCTATCACCACGTGTTAGTCTTTTTTATATTTAAACTGAATACGAAAGAGCAATAAGGTAAATTACCCTACCCACATTTAATGCTGACAGACGCGGATCTCACTCCCCCGCCCCATGCTCCCTCTCTCTCACTCTTTCTTTTATTATTAAAACAAATTTACATTATTCCTTCTCTCTCCAATCCATAGGTGTCAAAACAGAACCCGACCCAATTAACCCGCCCGATTAACCTGATCCGCAACCCGCACGCAACCCGAATTGACTAAAAGTCAACAACCTGTAACCAGCTCGACCCGCAACCCAACTAACCCGCAACCCGACTGACCCGCAACCCGATTAACTCGAACCCGATTGACCCGCAACCCGATTAAACTCGAATCCGATTAACCCGAACCCGATTTGATCCGAACCCGTCTAACCCGTAACCCGACCGACTCAACCCAAACTTCACCTAATCAACTTGAATAATTATTATATTATACAATACATAGTTTTCAAAATAAACTTTTTCATTCTAAACTTAGGTAAAATTATTTTTTCATTTCGTATAGGGAAGTTAAAAAATATGAAACTCACGTGATATTATGTATTTTAAGAAAATTAAAAAAATTGAAACATGAAGTCACTTGAACAATAAGTTCTTTAACAAAATTAAAAAAGTAAATATGAAATATAAATTAACACAATGTCTATATTAATAATGAAAGAATTAATAATTGAGATCATGGACAATATTAATATAATATATAAATTAAAATTTTGTGTAATTTAACTATTCAATAAAATTATCAATTATATATAAATAAAGTAAATTAATGTATTTGCTAATTTGATGCTTTTAAAAGAAGAGTGAAATGTTGGTGTGTTCAACTTTTTGGGAAGAGAAAGAAGAGAAAAATTTGGTTCTTTGAATTTTTTTTTCCCGTTGAATCAGTTACTCTTTTTATTAACTGCAAAAAATAGACCATTTGCAAAGCACAAATGGCCAACCAATACAACGAAAAGGAAAGTTCGAGATGAGGAGCCCTAAAAAGCAAAAAGAAATAACCTCTACCCCAAGCCATTTCCACCACAAACAACTACCAGCATACTACCAATCCCCTACAAACTCCCCAGCATGCCAAGCACCTGCAATCCTTCTAATAAGACTTCATTATCATTACATATAATTCGCAGTTCAGTGTTAACTTCCCGGACTAACTCCTCTACTGATTTACTTGCATCACCATAACGGGAAAGATGCAGGTTATTTGAATTTTTTAGGAAAGAAAAAGGGGGAATTTTGGTGGTTTTGATTTGTGGGGGGAGAAAGAAGTGCGGAAATTTCGTTCTTTTGATTATGAAAGAGAAATAAGAAGGAAAATTTTGAGTTTTCAACTTTTAGGGTAAGAAGGAAGAAAAAGGGAAATTTGGTTCTACAATTTTATGGAAGAGAAAAAGAGGAGGGAAATTTGGTTCTTTCAACTTTATAGAAGAGAAAGAAGAGGGAAAGTTGAGTGTTTCTAATTTATGGAAGGAGAAAGTAGGGAAATTTTAGTATTTTAATTTATTTTTTTTGTGAAAAGATAGAAGGAAACAAATTTGGTTTTTTCAACTTTTTGGTTTTCTAAAATTTTAGCATTTGAAATATGAATCTTTAATTTTTATATGGAGGGCATGACTAGTTAAATTTATTCTTATATACTTTGAAGGCTAATATATATATGTAATTGTTAATGGGCTACATAACTAAATTAACCATTAGTTACAACAATCATTTGTTGTACATATCATTTAATTTGTCTACTTGTTTTCTATACTTCTACATTTATTGCAACTTCAACACTACATGATCGTTATTTTACAACACTTAGTAAACTTTTGGCACATTTAAGTTGTGTTCGAGTTGAACTTTTATTTCAAAATGGGAGTTAACTTGGCATGTTAAGTCATACGATTGCAACAACTCAGTCAGGTTGCGGGTTTGAAAATTTTCGTTTATCGGGTTGCGGCCTTTGCGGGTCACTTTGGAATGGGAAATGAGAGGGAGGTTTGGGTGGGAACTTTGGAATGGTAAATTTATTGGTGGGTGAGTATGACCCAACAATTATACTAAACTTGATAAGTAATCTTTGACGGTTCGTTGTTTAGGGTATAAAGTATATGGTTAGGGTATATGGTATAAGGTACATATGGTTTAGGGTGTATATGGTTAGGGTATAAGGTATTGATGCTTTTGACGGTTCTAAGTTTTTTTATTAACATATGTTCACTTGAAGTCATTTGAAGTCTTTAATGGCGGGAGATCCCTTTTTAATTTATGTTTATGGTACGTGGTTAGGATACATGGTATATGGTGTAGAGTACATGATATATGGTTAGAGTATAGCAATTAGCAAATGAATCTAATCATTTCAGCTATCTCTGTTCTAATTCAAACTCAAATTAAATGGTGGTTTTTTTGTTAAATAATTTAGTGCTAAAGACAGTAATTACAAATATGAATACGATTATCACTTTCTACAAACCATTATAAAGTGGTAGGAATATGATATGGTTATTAGCCCCCTCCTTCAAGACCTAGGTTCAATCGTGGGGTAACTGTTTTCATTCTTATTTTTAGCCCCTCCTCGCTAACTCTGTCCCTACCTTAAAGTCTTGCATTTCATTCCTCGATTTAAATGGTGGTTCTGTCTTTATAATAATGCATTTATACAATTTGTGTTGATGTGGTACGCATTTTAGTGTGTTTTATCGTCCGAATATATTCGTAATGTAGTATGATTGCATATGAAAAGGTTGAATATGCAGATATGTGAAACGGATGCGAAGTGAAGCAATCCAAGTAAGAAGTATGAACTGCTATAAAAAGGGTAAGGAGTATGAACAATATATACATGAAAAAAGTGCAAATCCATCCCCGATGACCTATATAAATAAAGTCTTCCATTAGTTTCTCAGGACTCAAACAAGAAATTAAACATTCGTAGCAGCTAAGTATCCGAATGACATGTTTATGAGCTTCACCCATGTAATTAAGGATTGAATATACATTCATTATGTCTCCTTTTAACATGGTTTCTTGTAGAAATCCATTGGTAATTTAATTAGAGCGACTTAATTAGCAACAATAAGAAATTCTTTAGATCCTGTGCAATTTTCCACACAATTAACTGGTAAAGTGGATCATATTCAAAGGAATATAACCTGCTGATTTGACAAGATATACAGCAGCGACTTGGGCGGTTAAATCTTCATAGTGTACTGTTGAATTGAGAATTTGGTAGGGTATCTACATTGCATTGACATCGGGCAGACGGGGGACATGGATCACCATCTTAATTTGTCCTTAATAAACTATTCTTTGGACATATGAAGTGGGACTCTAGTTCTATCTTTAACAATTGAGAGCTAAGGGATCATCTTCGAGGCCAAGAGAAAAGAGAAAAGGACAGCATGGTTTTCATCATAGTGGAGGTGTTGGTGGGAATTAATTAACAAGGCAAGGAGTAGTTGAACTTGAAGGGTACATATACAGATGCAGGGGACGACCTTGACTTTTATAAGTCAAGATCAACACTTTTTAACCACTACACTGACCCCGTTGTTGAGAAAATGCCCAATGCACAAGGACTTTTATATAGACAGATAGCAGATGGTCAATTGATATTCTATAGGATCTTCCTCTATTAGGCAAACTCAATTCAGCTTCATTGGCCAAAAGGGGAGATGGTAGAGGGAAAGTCTGCAGGTTCCCACGACGACACCATCATATACAATACTCTGTACTATATGTTAATTGCACCCATCAAGTTGCTCTGCTCTGCTCACTTGCGCCCGCCGACTGTTGTGCTTTGTCAACTAATGTGTGCAACTGAAAGGTTTATCTTTGTCAAGTTTAGGTTTTGAGTCGTTCTCGGCAACAGGAGATTGACTCCTCCTACTTGTTTGTACTATAGTGCTCATCGTGGGAGAGGGTCCACTTTCAATTCCAACAAAAACCCTTTTTAAGTAATATCGAGGCAAATGATCACATCTGAATTCACTAAAGCTAACAGCCCTGCATTCTGTTTGGGCTATAAACTAAGTTCTAGGGTTTGAGGCTTTATGGTTTCGAATCATAAGACCACGTGAAAGCCCAAACTACTATAAACCAGTTGGTTCCAATAACTCGAGTTGTTAAAAGAGGTTCAATCGTGGATCATATGTAATCGAAGAGGCAATTCTAGGGATTGGAAATTCGGGGAGAATGAAGAGGGAGAAGAAAGGAGACGGACGAAATGAAGGCGAAGTCCTTTTTTGTCTTTCTTTTGTTATCTCCCCCTCAGTCTGGGCCTGTAGCTTCACAAAGCTCACTCGAAGACTAAGACCCGAAAACAAAAAGAAGATGGGCTTAGGACTGTTAAGCCCAGCCGAGAAGCCAAATTAGAAGAACACTTCAGTCCGTCTTCTTCCTTGAACCAATGTCCTTGGAAAATCGAATTTTGGTGTAGAAGATAGAGCAAGAAAAGAAAGTTGCAGAAATCTAAAGAACACACGATATTTTTAACGTGGTTCACCCCTGTGCAATGGGCTACGTCCAACCCTATGACTCTATTTATTATTTTTTGTATGATCCAACATACAAATACAAATAACAACTCTAAATGAAAAGGAAAAGCAAGAACTCAAAACAGAATGATGAGAAACAACCCATATTCCAAACTCCTGAATTTGTATCAGCCACTAGCAAAGAACCTCTTCATCTTTACTAAAACCATTTGTTTAGAATCCCTTTACCGCTCTCTCACAAAGTTTCTTCATTCTATGCAGGAGCATCGCCTTTTATAGATAGAGAGCATGAGAGAAGTGATCGTTGTAGTGACTCACTCCTACTGTCACTCTAGAAAATGGCCAAGTGTAACCACTTCCTAAAGCGTAGTATAGCGAGTTTGGGTTTTAATGTCAACCCGGGTCCTAGATGTGATGACTACTCAGCGAATTCTTATTATTTAGCGGTGAAACTTTAGTGCAGGTTCAAACAAGCAAAACAAGCAAAGCAAGCAATTAAACGGTTGTTTTCAAGTCGAGAGAGGTCACGCGGATATGGTTCCCCCTAGACTGTAGTTAAGCCGGATTGTAATTTACCAAGTTCAGTTTTATGAGAGTTATACTGCGGAAGGTTCTTAAACAGTCTGAAGTCTCGACTAAAGGTATCCAGACCCTCTCAATCTGAGTCTCCAGCGGGCGACTAACCTCCACTGGAGTAAACAGATTGAGGCCCTAACGAACAAAACCTCCACTACCGAAGTAACTCCGATACAGAATAGTGAATTGGCTCCTCGACTAAAGTCGCCAATTCACCACCTTCAATTAAGGGTGCTCTATCAACTTAGGCAGATATTCTCTTTCTAGGTCAAAGCAGAAATAACAGGAATTTGATCAGGATTCATGCCATTCAATCATTCAAACCCCAATTGAATATAATCAAATCATAGCATTTGTACTTGGGTTCATACAATCAGACCTAACATACAAATCTAGGGTTCTCCATACCAAGATGAATGAGGAAGTTACTCCATGGAGAGAGAAGCAAAAGCAAGTTTAGACGCGGAAACCATACTGTGAAGGATGGGTTTCTTCTCCTGGTCGTCAATCGGCACTTCTCCAAGTGTGAGCCGAGCTCCAATGGTGATGAAGATCAAGCTAGGGCACTTGGGAACTCTGGTTCGTCACTTTCTCTCTCTAGGAATCGCTTTGTCTCTCTAAAACTCGGAACCCCTCACTTTTGGCCTTCTTTTCCCCTAAGAAGCTGTCTGTCGCGATCCCCGGTCTAAATACCCGGTCGGGTATTTTGGGTGGCGATCGGATATGTGCAAAACGCACCGTCGGGTAACAGGGGAAAATCCCCGATCATGGCCAAGAATCCCCGACCAGGGATTTTTGCCTCCTGCTTGGGCCCCCTTCTGTTTCTCAAAGACGCCCAAAGCGTTTGATCCCCGGTCGTCGTCAAATAATACCCGGCCGGGTATTTCTGATCATGGTCGGGTATTTTTGCTCTCCAGCACACTTCAAACCTCACATGCTCCTTTCGACCCTAATCTCGTTCCTTTGCTTTGATGCCAACGCTAAGCCCTGAAATATTACATAAACGCACAACCTAGCGTGAAATCGGCTTAAAACACGAGAATCAATGTCTCAAACGGCTAAAGAATAGGGTTAAAAACACGTGTAATTAATGGTCTATCAAACTCCCCCACACTTAACCGTTTGCTTATCTCCAAGCAAACCTAACTCAAACCAATGCAACTCTCCAGACCTCTATAGAAACAAACAACCCCGATCGTCGGTAGAGGATTTCCTAGATCATATAACAGCTTACGAGGTCAACTAGTCTTCTAAGACGTTCCCTATCTCTCTCAATGCGAGTACTAGACTCAAGCCAGGATCATGAGAAGAAGTAGAAATAAGACAGTCAGTTCATGGATAAAGGGACTCATATCATTCACAACCAAGGACTCGTTGTACCGGGGTGCTCTTTTCACTTCATTTCACCGTTGGAACCCCTTTTTCCCTTTCACTTTATTTCTTTTTCTCTTTTTTTTTCATTCACTTATTGGGGGTTCTAACTGCAGTCTTTTCCACGGTCGACCCTTATTAGTCAAGCAAGAGCAATTTCTGCACATCTGGCGCTCACCAGAGTACTTCTTTTAACTCCTTTTCCTCAACTCGTGTGGAGGGTCAATGAAATTAAGGGGAGTCGGAAGCTCTATCCGTGCCCTTAAGAACACATCCTCAAGTAGGCAAACCGTTCAACGGGTGTAAGTTTTACTTGCACTAGAGACGGCTTAGCTTCATCTTGTAGGAGTACCCCACTAAGGATCACTAAAATCTCTTCCAAAACCTGATTTTGTGCAATGAACGGTACCGCACACGTTGGGCTTACCCCATGTTTAAGATTTAATGATTTCTACATGGCGGACCAACTGCTTTTCAGTTTTCACATGAGCACCCTATTCGATACACAAGTCCATAACACAACCCAAATAGAGTCACCATTACCACATGAATTCACGGTCCTAAATCCACTAGTTCACAAAATCAACCAGCACAGCAGAGAGCTAGATAGGAAAAATCTTATACTTCAACATCCGCCATAGTGGTACACCACCTCCCTAGGTTGCACATTACTATATAGACTGTCAATTCAAAGCATACTGAGCAGGCAATTTGCAAGAAAACACGTACTTGGAGCCCTCAAATTTAAATATTTGGACAGTGGACTAGGCTCCAAGCACACAAACAGATCTAATGCAGTCAAAAGAGAAATACCCCCCCCCCCACACTTAAGATCGACATTGCCCTCAATGGAGAAGAGGGAAAGATAAGGGGAACGATGTTCCCGGTGTGCATGGACTGCATGAGACTGGAAAGGGACCAGTCGGAGTGAAGCGGACTAGAGAAGGACCAGTCAGGGACAAAGCACAGCTAAAGGGAACAAAAGACCTCTAACACAGTACGTTAGGTCCAATGGTCAGCCCAATAGTACATCATCCAAAATCAAAAGAAAGAAAAGAAAATAAACCAACACACAAGATAGTTTGCATTCTGACAGAAATGAAAACAACACAAAACGGGACCACGAGTACAGTCTACTCGAGCTTGGTGAAGTCAATCTGGTCCATGAGATCGTCGACCACCTCTGGTGGTGGTGATGGTGGTCGCGGTGGCGAGTGATCCCACTGGGTGGTCCAGTGGGGCTCCTCTGGTGGGTGACAAGTCTGAAGCAGGTGCTCCGAGTACTCCATCAATCGGCGGCCACGATCGCGCTCCTGCTCGATGAGAGCACCAGTGACTCCCATCTGGGCCTCCATCCGGTCGAGGCGCTCGTCGACGACCGTCAGCCTGGACTGGTACTCGGCCTGGTGGGCCGAATACTGCTGGTAAAACTGGACCTGATGGTCCATGACCTGCGGGTTCTGAAGGCCGAGCTGCTGGAATTGGAGCCCCATCTGCTGGAATTGCTCTGTGAATATATGCATTGGAGCTGCTCGAAAACTGCCCACTCCAGATGGTGGTGGTGCTCCAGTTTCCCCCGGATGACCTTGCGGAACTGGTCCGCGTAATCCCGGTGCAGGCTCAGGTCCTGCACAAATGGATGGTCGAGTGACATGCTCCTGCAAAATCAGCAAACCAAAGGTGGAGCCAAGAAAAACTTGTCAGGACCAACAGTATGGGTTCATTGCTTCCCCCACACTTAAGGATCACCTAGGCTAGCAGTTTAAGCATAACCGGTTGAATTGCAAGCAACTCAACCGTAATCAAGGCAAGAAGCAAACACAACCGACCAATTTAATCACCCGGGCAGCACACACACAATAGTCATAGCCAATCATACACAAGGCGTCCCTCACCCTATTCTAATTCAAGCATGTCATGCAATCACAGTTCTCGGACCTACAAACTACAATTCGATTTTCCAGAAGAAGAGTAGTAAACAAGAAACACACAAGGAAACTCAAGTAGAACTGTAGCTGGCTGGGGGCACAAAAAATGGGTGAGGGATGCGAAAAAGGGAGGCGGCGGGCGCCGGCATGGGGCGGCCGGCGGGAGGCAAAGGAGGAGAGAGGGTAGAGGGTTTGTGGAGGAGGAGAGGAAAAATTTGGAAAAAATGAGGGTAGAGAGAGAAAACTGACCGAGGGTTTGCTTAAATAGGAAAAATCCCCGGTCGGGGCTCAAAAATACCAGGTTGGGTATTTTGAGTCCCTGACCGGGTTTTTGTAAAACGTCGAGTTTCATGCTCTTGGAAATTCCCGACCTTGTGCCAAAAATACCCGGTCGGGTATTTTTGAGCAAGGTCGGGGGTCTCTGAAACGCGGCGTTACAATCCTGGGAAATCCCCGGCCTTGGACCAAAAATACCATGTCGGGTATTTTGGCTCACGACCGGGTATTTTACCCTTCCAGCCAAAATTCTCATTCTCCCAAATTTTCAACCTCCCCTGAACGAAAACACCAAACCGATACATAACCAACTACCGAACTTCTACACAGACATGCAACTGACTCAACACGACACAAAAACAGAGAAAAAAGGAAAAAGAAATGCAAAACGTGGTGGGGTTGCCTCCCCACAAGCGCTTCTTTACCGTCTTTTAGTTGGACGCCCATGGCGGAACTAAGGGTCCGCGAGTTCCACTACCAACTCCGCACGTTCGACCTCGTCTCCCAGGTAGAGTTTGAGACGTTGGTCATTCACTTTAAATGGCTTAGTTTGCAGGTTGGCAATCTCAATCGTGCCATACGGGAACACCTGTGTGACCGTGAACGGTCCAGACCACCGGGAACGGAGTTTTCCGGGAAAGAGCTTCAGGCGAGAGTTATAGAGGAGAACTCGATCACCAACCTGGAACCCTTTCGGACCCCGCAACCGTGCATCGTGCAGGCTCTTAGTGCGCTTCTTGTACAACTTGGTGTTCTCATAGGCGTGGTAACGCCATTCCTCCAGCTCCAGCATCTGCATTTTGCGCTCAACACCTGCAACACTAAGAGGTCGTTTGCTTTTGGTATTTTGGTGTTGGATTTTGGCCCAAAATCCAACATATGTTGGACTTTATAATGAATCCATGTTTGTTAGCATATAATGGCTTTTGTTTCAATCTGTGGGGTCCACTAATATTGGATTATTTGGAGCTAAAATCCGTGGGCCCCATGGATTATAAAATCTTACCTCTATAGCTAGGATTTTGGAAGATAGATATAATCCATTATGTTTAATGACCGTGTTACCCCCACTCATTTTGGGTAATCCAATTTTGCCCTCGGTTATTATTATCTCTACTGAGGACTTTTGTCTACACTCTCATCTCACCAACTTTGTCTCTTCGTTGCCAAGGGATTGCAACACAGCAAAAAGCTCCGGCAACCTTTTCCATCTCTGTCTATCGTCGTTTTGTCTTCCTTTTATATGAAGCTCAACAATTAATTATTTCATGCTTACATCCTTTTTTTTATAATCCAATCCAAACCCTTGATTTTCCTTTCGACATTATTGGTTTGGGTTGAGAGTTTCAATTTACTTTAATGGCTTCTTGCGTGTATACAATATGACCAAATAGTATGGATGTTGCTGCCATTTTTACATATGCTAATTCTTCACGTATATACAAAAACATTCAAAATACAAGTAAAGTAAAAAGTGGTTCATTAAGGATAAGAAAGTAATTTCCCCCATCAAGCCATAATTCCAACCTACTAAAAGCCATTACCAAATCCTACAAACAAACATGGAAGTTTCAAAATCCAACATAATCAAAATCCAACATAATCTCTCATATTCAAAATCCAAGGTTTTATCATAATCCCTCATTTTCTAAAATCCTAGAAGCAAACGACCCCTAACATCCAAGTTGAGCAGCTTAAGGGCCCAAAAGGCCTTGTGCTCTAGCTCCACGGGAAAATGACATGCCTTTCCATAGACAAGCCGGTACGGTGAGGTACCAATGGGTGTCTTGTAGGCAGTGCGGTATGCCCATAGAGCATCATCGAGCTTGGTGGACCAATCCTTGCAGGATTGACCCACCGTCTTCTCCAGGATACGCTTGAGCTCCCGGTTCTTCAGCTCGGCCTGGCCACTTGTTTGAGGATGGTAGGCCACGGACACCTTATGAGTCACACCATAGTGAGACAGTAACTTATCAAACTGGCCCTGGAAATGGGTGCCTCGATCGCTTATGATGGCTCTAGGTGTCCCGAACCGGGAGAATAGCTGCTTCAGAAAACCACAAACGCGTCTAGCATCATTAGTGGGCAAAGCTTGCGCCTCGGCCACCTAGAGATGTAGTCAACAACAACCAGGATATAGGTATTACCAAAAGATGGAGTGAAGGGGCCCATGAAGTCGATACCCCAGACATAAAAAATCTCACAAGTTATAAACACATTCTGGGGCATCTCATCACGTGCAGAGATGTTACCTGACCTCTGGCATCGGTCGCACCTGCATGTGATGGTGTCTGCGTCCTTGAAGAGCGTGGGCCAGTAGAAGCCCGACTGTAGCACCTTCCTCGCTGTGCGGTTTCCTCCGTGGTGACCGTCAGTAGGTCCTTCATGACAGTGAGATAGAATGCCCTCCATCTCACTCTCCATAACACAGCGATGGATGATCCCGTCGGCTCCGATCCTGAAGAGATGAGGGTCATCCCAGAAGTAATGCTTCAGGTCGGAGAAGAATTTCCTCTTGGTGTCTTGTACGCAGTGCGGTATGCCCATAGAGCATCATCGAGCTTAGTGGACCAATCCTTGCATGATTGATCCACCGTCTTCTCCAGGATACGCTTGAGCTCCCGGTTCGTCAGCTCGGCCTGGCCACTTGTTTGAGGATGGTAGGCCACGGACACCTTATGAGTCACACCATAGCGAGACAATAACTTATCAAACTGGCCCTGGAAATGGGTGCCTCGATCGCTTATGATGGCTCTAGGTGTCCCGAACCGGGAGAATAGTTGCTTCAGAAAACTACAAACATGTCTAGCATCATTAGTGGGCAAAGCTTGCGCCTCGGCCCACCTAGAGACGTAGTCAACAACAACCAGGATATAGGTATTACCAAAAGATGGAGTGAAGGGGCCCATGAAGTCGATACCCCAGACATAAAAAATCTCACAAATTATAAACACATTCTGGGGCATCTCATCACGGGCAGAGATGTTACCTGACCTCTAGCATCGGTCGCACCTGCATGTGAAGGTGTCTGCATCCTTGAAGAGCGTGGGCCAGTAGAAGCCCGACTGTAGCACCTTCCTCGCTGTGCGGTTTACTCCGTGGTGACCGCCAGTAGGTCCTTCATGACAGTGAGATAGAATGCCCTCCATCTTACTCTCCATAACACAGCGATGGATGATCCCGTCGACTCCGATCCTGAAGAGATGAGGGTCATCCCAGAAGTAATGCTTCAGGTCGGAGAAGAATTTCCTCTTGGTGTGAGTTGTCATCCCCTTGGGCAGCTGCTGGCCCACCAGATAATTCACAAAATCAGAGTACCAAGGGGTGACACTCTCCACCAAGTACATCATCATCAGTCTCTCATCTGGGAAGGAGTCGTTGATCTCCTCCTCGAGGTTGTCCGCAGGAGGTGCTTCCAACCGAGAGAGGTGATCGGCTGCAACATTCTCCGCTCCCTTCTTGTCCTGAATCTCGATGTCGAACTCCTGCAATAGTAAGATCCATCGTATGAGCCTAGGCTTGGCATCGGCATTGCTCATCAGGTATCGAATCGCCCGGAGTGATCTGTATACACGGTCACATGGGACAAGACCAGATAAGGACGAAATTTGTCGAAGGCAAACACCACCGCGAGCAGCTCCTTCTCCGTGGTGGTGTAGTTCTCTTGGGCATCATTTAGGGTCTTCGAGGCGTAGTAGATAGGTTGGAAGTGTTGATCTCGCCTCTGTCCCAAGACAGCTCCAACAGCAAAATCACTGGCATCGCACATCAACTCAAATGGTAGGGACCAGTCAGGAACAACCATGATAGGAGCTTGGGTGAGCTTCTCCTTCAAGGTCATGAATGCCGCTATGCATGCATCAGTGAACTGGAAGGGGGCATCCTTCTCAAGAAGCTTAGTCAGGGGCAGGGCGAACTTCGAAAAATCCTTGATAAACCGCCTGTAGAACCCTGCATCGCCTAAGAAACTCCGGATCCTCTTAACATATGTAGGAGGGGGCAGCTTGCTGATAGTCTCGATCTTTGCTCGGTCCACCTCAATCCCCATCTTGGAGATCTTATGCCCCAGAACTATGCCTTCGCGAACCATGAAGTGGCACTTCTCCCAACTCACTGCCAGGTTCGTTTCTTCATACCGTTTAAGGACGAGTTCCAGGTTATGGAGACAGTGAGAGAATGAGTCTCCATAAACCGAGAAGTCGTCCATAAACACCTCCATAATCTCGCCGACCAGACGGTCAAAGATGGCGAGCATGCATCGCTGAAAAGTGGAGGCGTTACATAGCCCGAATGGGATCCTCCGGTAGGCAAATGTGCCGAAGGGACAGGTGAAAGTGGTCTTCACCTGGTCCTCCAGTGCAATGGGGATCTGGAAGTATCCGGACATCACATCCAGGAAACAGTAGAACTCATGCCCCGTCAGTCTCTCCAGCATCTGGTCAATGAACGGCAGCAGGAAGTGGTCCTTCCGAGTGGCGTCGTTGAGACGTCGATAATCAATGCAGACACGGTACCTAGTCACTGTGCGCATCGGGATGAGCTCATTCTTCTCGTTAGGCACCACGGACATCCCAACCTGTTTGGGTACCACCTGGGTGGGACTGACCCACTCGCTGTCGGAAATGGCGAAGATGATCCCCGCGTCCATCAGCTTCACAATCTCTGCCCGAACCACAGCCTCCAGGTTCGGTGTCAGTCTTCTCTGCGGCTGCCTCACTGGCCGCATCTCATCCTCCAGCAGTATCCGGTGGGAGCCAAAGGAGGGACTGATCCCCTGGATATCTGTGATCTTCCACGCTACAGCACGCTCATGCAGCTTTAGCAAGGCCACCAGTCTGTCCTTCTGCTCGGGGGTGAGGGTCGAGCTGATGATGACTGTAAGCTTATTCCCCTCCCGGAGAAATGCATACTCCAAATGAGGAGGGAGGGGTTTAGCTCCAGCTCTGATGGTTCCTCCAAGGAGGTAGTGATGCGGGGTGAGGATGAGATCGGTTTGAACAGCCTGTCGCCCTCTAGGAATGGGCCACTCTCCAACGCGGCCAACTGCTCCGCCAGCTGCGGCTCCTGCGATGCCTGCTCACCTAGCAAAATACAATGCTCAAGAGCATCGTCAGTACCTGCACTCGTTATAGCGAGTGCGGTCTCAAAATCAGCAAGCACATCACAGTAATCTACCTCATCATGCAAATGGGAGTGTTTCCCATTCTCAGACACAGAAAAAGTAGCATGTTCATCACCAGCACGCAGGATCAATTTACCACTATGCACATCAATAAGCGCCTTGGCGGTGGCGAGAAACGGTCTACCCAAAATCAAAGGTACATCCACATCCTCATTTATATCCAAAATAACAAATAACAAAGTCAAGAAGATCCTCAATGATACCCCTAGGATGCACGATGGAACGATCAGCTAACTGAATGCTCATCCTAGTAGCTCTAGGTTCACCTAGGTCTAGATTTTTAAACAATTTGTAGGGCATGACATTTATGCTAGCGCCTAGGTCCGCCAAGGACTTTCCTACATGCATGCTGCCAATAACAAGAGGGATAGTGAAACTCCCTGGGTCTTTACGCTTCTCTGGCAGCTTGTTCTGCAGGATAGCAGAACACTCCTCGCTCAGCATCACTGTCGAAAGATCCCCAAGTTTCTTCTTGTTGGTGAGGAGGTCCTTCATTGAACTTGGCATAATTGGGCATCTTCGGCAGTGCCTCCACGAATGGCATGCTGATGTTGACCTGCTTCAACATTGCCATGGACTTGGCAAACTCAGTCTCCAACTTGTCTTTATGCAGGCGAGTGGGGAAAAGAAGTTGGGGTACATGCTCCTTAACCACTGGCTATGGCTTGGGAGTAGGTGCTTCCCTGTTCCCCCCCCCCCCCCCCCCACTTTGCATTGTCAGCTGGAAGTGTTGAAGCAGGTAGTAGCTTGTCTTGACAGGGCTGGGCAGGAGCAGCAGACATGGTCTTGCCACTCCTGGTAGTG